GGTCACATACTCGTCCTTCATCAGCGTATGCTTTCGTGATATAATTGACAACTCTCTTATCTTCTGAGGGTGCTTTAGGTAGAAACGAAAAATCCTCATGTCCCACACGCAGACCACTAGTAGCTTCCGTATTATGTTCTGTTTTAGCCCGATAAGCTAATCTTCCAAACCTACTACTAGCTATCTTAGCATGAGACATAATAAATTCCGTCAATTCGTTAAAATTAGGCTCTCTCTCCTCTTCGTCCCACTTGATTCCTAGCTCTGCCCACTGGGCTTGCATTCGACGAGGTAAGAGCCTGACTATTCGTTCTAAAGTAACCATGGAATTAAGTTCCGTTGTGCAGTTTAGCTGTTCTAAGGTTAAAGCAGCATTCTGCATTTTAATAGCCAAGTTCGTCAATAATTCAGGATCATTAAAATCTGCGTTCCCAGTTCTAAATAAGTCCTCTAAGGTTTCTCGGGCTATTACATGCGACTGTCCAAAGAGCTGTTTTAGGATGGCCTTAGCTCTCTTATATCCTGCTTGTGGATCCATAATAATACAGCCCTCAATCGCATTTTTTGCTTTTCCTTTACAATAGTATGACAAATATGACAACAACTGGCCCTTGTCAGACAGTTTACTCTCTATAATGCTTGTAAACTGACTAATAAAACGGTGGTACTGGCTAGGTTGTCCGTCAAAAAACATATCGATTTTAGGCAAAACTGTATTATTAACCGTAGCACGTAACGTGTCCTTTAATTTATCAATACAACCGCATTTTGAGGCGTTAATTACCTTATTACGCTCAATATCACAATCCAAATACCTTTCGACCTTAGAATTTATCTCAGCTTTGTCTACTGACAGTTGGTTATCGTTTTCTATGAGCTTACATTCTAATTCAGCCATATCAACTTCCTCTTGAAGCTCTAACATTTTAAGCTGCTTTTCTAACTCAAGTCTCTTTTCCAAATTCTTCTTCTTAATTAATGCCTTATCTAACTTAAATCTAGAAGTACTAAACTGAGATGAAGACTTACTATTAACACTAATATCATCAAGTTTATCATCATTAACATCAGACATACCACAAACAGCTTTAGAATATTTACCATCCATTTCGTCCTGCTCCTTCAGCCTTTTGCTTCTAGTTTCCATTGGATGCTTTTGTTAGAAATCGATTACCAAGCAAATATGAAATTATTCCAAACGTATTCGCCAATAATAACAAAATGTCCAAAAGTATCCAAAAGATAACCAAAGAACCAAAACTGAATTGTCCAAAGTATCCAACGACCAAATTAAAAGTTAGAACTTTTGGACCCAAATTTCCAAAAGTTTCCAACGACCAAAATTTGAATTGAAGAACCTCTTTGCCAAACGACCAGAAATGCAATATATGACGAAAAGTAAATTAGAAGAACTTTTGTTACGTCCAGCTTTTGCTCGTTGATCTTACGAAGCACGGTTGTCGAGCTATTTGTAATTCACAGTCCCCAAATGTTTAAGCCAAGAACGAAACTCCAAAGTAGATACCAAAGTTTATTCCAAATCACAAATTCGACCAAAATACTGTATTACAAATAGGCGACCAATGTCGTTCTAACAACAATAATTATAATAATTACAATTACCTTCTAATTTATTAGCTCTTGGAGCAAAAAACTGCAAACGAACAACAAAGAGAAACGGGAGTCCAAAATGTCCGCAAATAATAATTCAAACAAGTTCACAAGTTAAGTAAAACAAATGTACCCAAAAACAGTGAAATTAATGATATTTATACATGAAGGTTTTGATCAGCGAAATGTCTTCGTTTCTCCCGTAATAATTAGCTTGGTATCTATATGCTGATTGCACTCGATCTCTCAGCGACCTCAATAGGACGTGAAATAGCCTCATTAGCGTGATACTTTAGGCGAGATAAAAATTCGGAATTACGCCCCCGTCGAAGCTTTTAAGGACTCTAGCCCTACGACAACACTCTGAGACTTTTAGCAGCTGCTACAGTGTAGCTCTCATTTGATTTTAGGGAGTGACTTGAAAAACTCCTAGTCATTTTTGAAGGTAGGTGTGGAATTTAATTTCCACTGACGACATGGTGATTTTTATTACAGTGTGCAGTGGCGAGTGGAGTCACAATTCAAACTTTTTATCGCGTCACTACATAGTGAAAGCACAAAATTCCATCAGAGTTCGAATGCAACGCTTATTTTACATGTTAATGAGAAAATCATGTATGAATTTGTAGTGCCTCCACTTATATTCGAGTTAGCTTGCATTTAATTTGGTTAAGCCCTTTCGATTAATTTATTTAACCAAGCCATTTGCAAAACAATAGCTTATATGTACCATTGGCTTTTATTATTCTGTGGTTTGTATGAGCTGGTATGACTGAGCATTGCTTACCGCCTACGCACATATGCATCCTATTCGTTTTAATATTAATCTCTTAAATACCGCGATGACTCAGATATCTTCCTATGTATATATACGAACATTTTAATCTTATTTACTCACTCGCACATTCACTCGCTAGTGTGCCTGTCGGTCTTCAGGAATATCAAGGCTATTATTTAAGGCGCTAGACAAAGTGATATGTTCCACATATGCTTCAGTTGGTGTTTCACAACAGTTTTGAGGGGCGAGGATCTGAATAGAAGATACTCGGCACTGAAGTTCCTTAAACTAATAATGTCGCCAATTTTTCATTTGGGCGACAGTCTGTGTGAGACTTAATACTTTTGACTGATTATGCCATAACTTGGTCTCTTGGTAGTTATGCAGTTCGCGTATTGTGTATTGTACGCGATCCTGTTATTACACCGTTCTCCATAATCATATACGTGACAGGGATTAGGTGAGGTTAGGTAGGGTCCAGGCTTGTGAGTGCAGAAACTGTGAGCACACCATGAGAGAACCTGGAGCCCTACCTCCTTTAGGACTGCTTCATGGTATTATCAATGATAATTTATTCTTAAGTGGCATTGTGTTACAAGAGACATAAAAGTTTAGAGATAAGATCAAAAATTTCAAAAATACCAACAAATTTACTGTAAGAGGTTGTTCAGCTGCAAGAATATTCTTCAAGTTACACTGGCTTTTAATAAAGGTATAATATTTTTCACATGAAATCGTAAACGTTTCAGACTCTGGAATGTACAATGCAATAGATATGTCCATTGTGTTGCGAAAAAGACTGGTGGTGAAGAAATGAACCGAGTTAAGTCCAATGCTGTAAATGATAAGAGTTGATGAGATACATGTGTATTGATGTTCTTCCTGAGATTCACCGGATAATAATTCGACAGGCTTCTGGGTAAAGTAACCAAGTCTCTGGGAATATCAAGTCTATTATTTAAGTTGTAGGATAAGGTGCTGAAGAAGAAAAATGGGGGAGATTTATTATAGGGAAAATTCGTGCTCAGAGATGAATAACGATTAGATAGATACTTTTCCTGATAGAAAATTTGAAATTTGATCACTCAGGACTTCCTTTTTCTGTATTATAGCTTTTGTGAATGGTAATGAAGACAAGTCACTAGATCGGCAACCAGTGAACAAATAATTAAATGAATAGAGGAGATTCAAAAGCAGTAAGTTGTTAGAAGTTATGTCTATCTACAAAATAGAATCAGGCACAACGATTTGATGCACTAGTGAAATTCCATTTACTGTTTTTATCACTTGCTTATGTAGTCACCAGTGAACGGTGCCTGAGTCAGCTGTTGAAAGGATTTCTCGGTTGGAAGTGAAAGTAGTTCGAGGTTACAAACAGGAGGAGGAGTGCCCAGCATACAACTTGTTAAGAGGTAGCCAGTCGAAATGTCACATCATAAACATTGTACCTCACAGGACACAGACAACGTTCGTTCTTAATGGAAGTCCGCCCCCAACTGTCTCCTCAGAGCACGATATGGTCTAATAACCTCAGAGAGCTTGGAAACAACTTCAAACTACACAGCAATACAGCTAAGGCTAACTGAACTCGTCACTTAATGAGGAGACAACTTGATGCAATCATCCAACTAGTGTTCTCAACTCTCTTCAACACACGCCCGCCACATCTTGATGTAAACAATATCGTCGCTCTCCTTAAAGGGGACATAAATCTCATGGATCGAGCTCAGAGACAAGCAGGTGATCGGGTGATAGTGATAAAGAATAAATTTTATGAAAACGGACTCGAATAGTTTGCATCATCACTACTGAGTAATAGGAGGATCGGAGGAGTACTGATAATAACATATAATGAATTAAATGAACCGAGTCATCCCATTATGCGGATCTTGCCAAACCATCACCACAACAACCCTGGAAGGGGCCCTCAAAAATTGCGCGTCAACAAGAGTGCATCCATGTTCGTACACACTTTCTCTCAGTAAGACTTATCGGAACTTGGAATGTTCTTCTAGCTGAGGTGGCCATAGCCCCTCGGTAGGTATCTTCGAAAGGAGACCTTGTAAACAATTACTCACATACGGATTATTATCGCCTTCTTCAACCAGATATGCATGATGAATACGTTGAAAATTGTTTGCTTCAGCATTGTCATTGTTCAGGCAAATAAGTGGTTCTATCTCACTTGTTGTCACCTCTGTTTCTTCTTTCGTCCTTACATTTCCGTCCTCTCACACAATCTTCACTACCAATCAATTAACTTATTAAACAATGTATAAAATTCCTAAATCTTGTTTACGTTATCATGAGAATTCTCTTCGTACATTCTCCACATTTCAACTGTCTGACAGCCTGTCTGAAAACGTGTTAGTTGCTGGTATTCAGAAACCCTTCTACTCTGTACCGATGCATTCACACAGAACACTGGAAACATAACTTCTTAAATAACTTCTAACAGACTAGAATTAGTGCAGTTGAGTGGCTAAACTACGCTCTATCGAACATTACTAAATACCTGTAGGCTTACTGAAAAAACAAGAATCGAGCACAATGAAAACAAATAGTGTACACAAGCTATTCAGAAAGGTATTGGGCATTGATTTTCGGTCCGCGCGACCTTTTCGAATTCAGCTGATACTACGCCATCTATCAGGGCACGTGTTTTGTAATCTTCTTATCTAGACTACATTAGACATGGCGACAAAAAATGTCATTCTTTTATCTATATGCGATAAGGAGCACGAAAAAGCACTTATTGTTTTCTTGTGGGGATGTCTATCGTATGATAATCTTCACCAACTAGTTCGAAAACATTTGAAATTAACTTCACAGCGTTTCGATCTGGAATATTTAGAAAACAGCGATGTAGGTTAACTTTTTTTGCATTTAATTGTTATACTTTAGCCTTGCTGCACCCTGCCAAAGTTCGGAAATTTAGAAAGCATTTTCGATGTTGCACAATATTCTGAAGTGAAGAGTACTTCATCTTTGCCTCATCCTGTAGTGACCTCACTATCAGACGAACGCCTAGAAACTGTCCCATCTCGAAACCGTCTCGAAGTGAGGGTTTCTCGCAATCCTGATGGTAAGTTTATTTTAATAATAACTAATCGATTACACTAACAATTTGGATCTTTCACATCTATGTATGTTGTTATCTGTCATATAATGTAACACTTTACAAAACAGCATAATTGAGATCCAGTAGTTCCTGGCTTGTTGTGATAAATTTGATCCTCACATCTTTCAAAATCAATGTTCAAAATGATGTACTGCTCATTTCTGTTTACATAAGAGCTCTTTTTAGTAACTACTTCTGGATTTGAGAATATAATGCACTGCGTTTTAATTTCCCTTAGTTTAGAATTTAAAGGACTAATGACTAAGAATTGAGTATGTCACATGACCATTTTTTGCTCGTAATAGGGTCATTGACTTAGCGATGCATAATGTTGGACATACTACACTTGGTGTAGTAGACTCAGCACATCGATGCTTGTAAAGCGTGGCGTCAAAGTAATTATGCACCGCACTAATAAGGAGAGGTGGTTGTATGACATCTGCTTCACTTGTTTGTACACCTACACTTCAAGATGTTGTTAGACTTCTCATCAGCCTTGTTGGAATGGTAACTAATGTAATCTCAGCACGAATCCAAAAGCCAGTTAGACTTCCGTCACTTTCTGTCAAATTGCATTTACTAGGTATTGGTCTATCAACTGTGGGATGAGCTTAATGTATGGCGTTTTGCTTTGCTCGACTTTATGACCGTGAAATGTGGCCTTTAATGATAAGGGATCTTGATAGGTTACTAGTATTCGACCTTAGGTGTCTTCACAGCATTGTTATCATATCATGGGACCGTTAAGTTAGCGATTTTAAAGTTGGACACAGATTACTAGGTGAGGGTGGCAATTCGGTTGGTGTAGTAGTGAGTTTTTGTCAACTAAAATAAGTAGATGGACTATGTCCACCCATCAACCGACTACCCTGATGCACGACGATGGCTAGTGTCGGAGTCGGTTGGAAGGAAGGTGTAGCTAAACCAAGGCATGGTATCAGTCAGCATACAATTCCTGACCACGCTCTTGTCTGATGAGTCGAAGGTTTCTCTGGTATCAAGAAACAATGGTTTTTTGCCTGAATTAAGTATGATGATGCTTCGAAATTTGGCGGAGTGTAAACTTGTGATTAGTCCATCTACGTGCAAAACAATAGTCAGTCTACTCCTCGCTAACCAGTTTCTTATGGGTTTTGGGTAATCTGAATGGTATGATGAGAGCCAATAGTTCGTGTGCAATGAAGGGAAGAATTATTCTCCTATAGTTGCGCAGACAACATAGTCCCCTTTTAAAATTGCTGACAGTGATCACCCGATTCTGAAGCGTTGAAACTGGTTATCTGTTCCTGGTGGTTTGTAGTTGTTCATAAGTTTGTGTTCTCTTAGATACCACCTTGTTATGTGATTTGGTCGTCGCTGTTAGCTGCTCGGACGAGTTAAAAAAGCTTCAGACAGTTATTATAGATGTTTCTAAGTTAATATCATCTTTTGGTCACTAAGCATACTCACTATTTATTTATGTAAAAATCTGCATTTATCGCGTGATTACAAGTTATTTTATTTGAAAGGTTAATTTCTAAAGGTTCTACCATGCCGTACTAAATCGAGTAGTATTATCAAAAGCAGCAAACAAAAACTCACGAGCTAAGCTTTATCACTACCGACTGTAATGGGCTGTTGTGTAGTATAGCGTTTCCTTCAGTCAACCAGCTTCTTTAGTAATCCTGCCTTCTGCATAACAAAATAGGTTGGTCCATGAAAGATCACATTTTACCTTATTCCACAGATTTCTATTGCTGGTGATTAGGTCTGAAATGTAACGAGTTAACTGGTGAACGAGTAGCCTTTAATAAAAAAAATCCAGTCTCGAAATCCATATTTCTGTTTGATGCAATTCCAGTGTGCCACTTACACATGAACTTACAATGCATTTCTAATTCGTATTAGGTAACTTAGTATGAATTTAATCAATCGATCTTCAGTCATTTTCATTGCATTCATAAATTAAATTTACTTTAATTTGATGATGCAAAGTGACAATTGCACAGTGTGATAAATATTTATAATTAACAGTCATCAAATCAATCAGTATTGAATGGGATAAACTTGATTGTTATTTGATTTTGTCGTGGCCTCTATTATTTAGCGCACAGACGACGGAGACAGAAGCGACTTACTTACTTACTTTCGCCTGTTACCTCCAATGGAGCATAGGCCACCCACCAGTTTTCTCCAACCAACTCTGTCCTGGGCTTCCCTTTCTAGTTCTTTCCAGTTTTTGTTCATTCTTCTCATGTCTTTCTCTATTTCTCGGCGTAATGTGTTCCTTCGCCTTCCTTTTTTCCTTTTGCACTGAGGGTTCCATGTGACGGCTTGTCTCGTGACGCAGTTACGTGCTTTTCGTAATATGTGTCCTATCCACTTCCACTGCTTCTTCCTGATTTCCTCCTCCTCCTCTGGAATCTGGTTTGTTCTCTCCCACAGTACGTTGTTGCTGATGGTGTCTGGCCAACGAATCCGAAGTATTTTGCGTAGACAACTGTTAATAAACACTTGTATCTTCTGGATGATGGCTTTCGTAGTTCTCCAAGTTTCCGCTGCATACAGTAGAACTGTCTTGACATTTGTATTGAAAATCCTGATTTTGGTGTTGATTGACATTCGTTTAGAGTTCCAGATACTTTCCAATTGTAGAAATGCAGCCCTTGTTTTGCCGATCCGCGTCCTCACATCTGCATCGGATCCACCTTGGTTGTCGATGATGCTGCCTAGATATGTAAAAGTGTTAACGTCCTCCAAGACACCTCCATCAAGAGTGATTTGATTGGTGCATGTTGTGTTGCATCGGAGAATTTTGCTTTTTCCTTTATGTATGTTGAGACCTGCTGCTGCAGAGACAGAAGCAACTGTTCGTCATATTGAAAACGTGGTTGCAGATTACTAGTTTAGTTTTTGTCAGGCTCCTAGTTTGTCAGAACTACCTCTAACCCGATTCCTGTTTCACGCAGTTGTATAGTAACAACTGTTCTTGTACTTTTATCTATTAGTAGTAGTGTTGTTTAAAGTCGAATTTCCTACCTTTTTCTTGTTTCGTATCTTCCCTTATATGCGACTAGAGTTCACGTTTCAGGTTAGCGTTATCCCCAGTCACTTGAAACTGATTTTCAAACGCTTATACTGGTCTTTCGACTTCCCAGATCAACAAGTAGATGAGTGGCTATCTGCTAAAATCTTATATCCAGACGATCGCTTGTCCCTTGCAATTACTGATATAAAGAGAGATACATAACCTGTCAAATAAAAAACTCTAAATGCAACCAAACAATATCAGCTGTCATTAGAAGTTTTACTAACCACGTAATTCCTTCTAGATCACGTGTTTCGATCTTAAATATATCTCAATCTAAGTCGCAAAAAAGCACATTGTCATAAGAGAAATAAAGCATAAGGTATGTTACTTATATTCAAATTTAAAACGTATTTATATGCTTGACATGTCACTCAGAGTATACATGAAGTGTTAATTGCCAACCACAATGAAAACAGGTTACGTGAAATAAAAATAGTAAATAATCACACTATTAATCGACAAAATTAGAACAAAAACGAAATTGACTTATGACAGACAGATACAATTCAGTGACATAAATTTAGAAGGAGAAAGATAGAGATTATGAAGAATTCAGAAGGTTAGAATTAAAAAAAGCACACAAAGAGTAGCTGCTACCTTGACGTGGTGGTCGGGCTTGCCTATCGTGATGACCCGACCGAGCTATATTGGCTGGAATATAAGTTCCTGAGGGTTCTACCATGTCAGGCACGTCGATTGGAGAACGATGAGACTAAAAGCAGCTACTCAAGGTCTGAGGGCGAAGTCGTACTGCTAACTGACTGTAGAGGGGTGTGACAGCAGTAAGGTGTTTCCCTCGGACAACCAGCATCTGCAGCGATGCTGCCTTCTCATCACAAGGAAGGAAGGGTTAGAAAACGTCGACCTTAAAAATGTCACACCTCACTCTACCTCACGGGTTTCCGTCCCCGTCTGTAAGGGTGCCCACTAAGGGCTTTTAAGAGCAGAGCTAACACTCAAAACACCTTTCATAAAAAGGCCGTGTGTGACCGGCCTCAAGCAGTTGTCCCTTGGGTTCTGCGGTCACGCACCCAGGTCTTTAAGACCAACACTAATCTATCTTTCTTTTCAGGTTCCTCAAGAAACATCCTTCGACGGTGTGGGCAGCCGGGAAGTGACAACCGCCCTCATACTCGTAACAGCACGAGAGACCAAATTGGCCAAAATCAATTTGACTTATGAGGAACAATAAGATTATACAAAAATAATAGTGTTATTAGTCATATTAATCATAAAAATGTGTGACTCATTATGCTTTCCTGGTGTGGTAGCAATTGGCTTGTTAAAGCGGAGTAAAAAGGGTGTCCGAGTTACTCAGTTTGAACGCTTACGAAGTCTTGATATTATATCTGCTATGCATCAAGTGAACTCCGCCAGTAGAACCTTAGGGGCTACTGCCGGTCCCAAGCCCGGATAAAGGAGGAGGGTTGGACATGGGGTTGGCGACCCCATTCCGTTGAAATCTCACTTGCCAAAAAAACGCTAACCAGAAAAAATAATTCAAACCATTTTAACTCTGCCCTGGGAGTTGGAAGAAGAATTATGACGTCGCGTGATGAAAGCCGAGTTCCCTCGGAAGTCACGGGGCTGATGCCTCTTCTGACAACCAGAGCAACCATTTTTTTAGGTACATGGAACGTTCGTACATTGTGGGATACTGGAAGACTATTTCAAGTTGCGGCAGAAATGAAACGATACAACCTCGAGGTGCTTGGAATCAGTGAAACGCATTGGACACAAGTAGGACAACTGAGACTAGCTTCAGGGGAACTGCTGTTATACTCTGGTCATGAAGGGGAAAACGCTTCACATACACAAGGAGTTGCACTGATGCTGTCCAAACATGCACAAAAGGCACTAATAGGATGGGAATCTCATGGGCCGAGGATCATTAAAGCATCCTTCAAAACAAAGAAAGAGGACATTACAATGAACGTCATCCAATGTTATGCACCTACCAATGACTACAATGACGACGTTAAAGATCAATTCTACGAAAGGCTGCAGTCAATCGTCGATAAATGTTCACCAAAGGATTTGACGATTCTTATGGGAGACCTGAATGCCAAGGTTGGAATGGACAACACTGGATATGAAGACATCATGGGACGACATGGACTGGGAGAAAGGAACGAAAACGGTGAGAGATTTGCAAACCTATGTGCCTTCAACAAACTGGTCATCGGTGGCACAATATTCCCGCACAAACGCATTCACAAAGCCACATGGATTTCACCGGACCACACTACTCAAAACCAAATTGACCATATCTGTATCAACAAAAAGTTCAGAAGGACCATGGAGGATGTGAGAACCAAGAGAGGAGCTGATATAGCTTCAGATCACCACTTGCTGATCGCCAAAATGAGATTGAAGCTAAAGAAGCACTGGACAACGGGGCAGACAACATCACAGAAGTTTAATACGGCCTTTCTTCGGGATACCGTAACACTCAACGAATTCAAGATAGCCCTCACCAATAGGTTCCAGGCCTTTCAGGATCTACTCAATGGAGAGGAAGCAACATTGGAGAACAATTGGAAAGGGATTAAGGAGGCAATCACTTCAACATGTCAGGAGGTCCTTGGTCGCAAGAAGCACCATCACAAAGAATGGATCTCTGTTGGTACACTTGAAAAAATTCAAGAAAGGAGGAACAAGAAGGCAGCAGTGAATGTCAGCCGAACAAGAGCAGAGAAAGTTAAGGCGCAAGCCGAGTATACAGAAGCAAACAGGGAAGTGAAGAAGAGCATCAGAGCTGACAAACGAAAATATGTGGAAGATCTAGCAATGACGGCAGAAAAGGCTGCAAGAGAAGGAAACATGAGACAATTGTACGAAACAACAAAGAAGCTCGCCGGAAACTATCGTAAACCAGAACGACCAGTGAAAAGCAAGGATGGGAAAATAATCAGCAACACTGACGAACAGCGAAATAGGTGGGTGGAGCACTTTAAGGAACTATTGAATCGACCAGCTCCACTGAACCCACCCAACATCGAAGCAGCATCCAAGGACCTCCCAATTAATATTGGCGCACCTACGATTGAGGAGATCAGTATAGCCATCAGACAAATCAAGAGCGGCAAAGCAGCAGGACCAGACAACATTCCAGCAGAGGCAATGAAAGCAGATGTGGAAGCAACTGCGAAAATATTTCAACTTCTCTTCAAGAAGATTTGGGATGAGGAACAAGTACCATCAGATTGGAAAGAAGGATACCTGATCAAAATACCAAAGAAAGGCGATCTCAGCAAGTGTGAGAACTACAGAGGCATCACTCTTCTTTCAATACCAGGCAAAGTCTTCGACAGAGTATTGTTAAACAGAATGAAGGACTTCGTAGACGCCCAACTTCGAGATCAACAGGCCGGATTTCGTAAGGATCGATCATGTACTGACCAAATTGCTACATTACGGATCATTGTGGAACAATCAATTGAATGGAACTCACCACTCTACATCAACTTCATCGACTATGAGAAAGCATTTGATAGCGTGGATAGGAAAACACTGTGGAGGCTTCTTCGACACTATGGTGTGCCTGAGAAAATAGTCAACATCATACGGAATTCTTATGATGGATTCAACTGCAAAATCGTACACGGAGGTCAGCTGACAAACTCGTTTGAGGTGAAGACCGGTGTCAGGCAAGGTTGCTTACTCTCACCCTTTCTCTTTCTGCTGGTCATCGACTGGATTATGAAGACGTCAACATCTGGAGGGAAGCACGGTATCAACTGGACAGTTAGGACGCAGCTGGACGATCTGGACTTTGCAGATGACCTGGCTCTTCTATCGCACACTCAACAACAAATGCAAGAGAAGACGACCAGTGTAGCAGCAGCCTCTGCAGCAGTAGGTCTCAACATACATAAAGGAAAAAGCAAAATTCTCCGATGCAACACAACATGCACCAAACGAATCACGCTTGATGGAGATACCTTGGAGGACGTTAACACCTTCACATATCTTGGCAGCATCATCGACGAGAAAGGTGGATCGGACGCAGATGTGAGGGCGCGGATTGGCAAAGCAAGGGCTGCATTTCTACAGTTGAAAAATATCTGCAACTCCAAACAACTTTCAAACAAAACCAAAATCAGGATTTTCAATACAAATGTCAAGACAGTTCTACTGTATGGAGCGGAAACATGGAGAACTACGAAATCCATCATTCAGAAGATACAAGTGTTTATTAACAGTTGTCTACGCAAAATACTTCGTATTCGTTGGCCAGACACCATCAGCAACAACGTACTGTAGGAGAGAACAAACCAGATTCCAGTGGAGGAGGAAATCAGGAAGAAGCAGTGGAAGTGGATAGGACATACACTACGAAAAGCACCCAACTGCGTCACGAGACAAGCCCTCACATGGAACCCTCAAGGCAAAAAGAAAAGAGGAAGACCAAGGAACACACTACGCCGAGAAATAGAGAAAGATATGAGAAGAATGAACAAACATTGGACAGAACTGGAGAGGAAAGCTCAGGACAGAGTTGGTTGGAGAAAACTGGTGAGCGGCCTATGCTCCATTGGAGGTAACAGGCGTAAGTAAGTAAGTAAGTAATGCATCAAGTGCTTGACTGTTTCCCTACCTGGACTATTGACCTGTTCAGAAAATCTTGTGGAAACTCTCTTGTCATTTTTTTCCATATATTCTCTGTCAAAAGTGCATGGAAGCTAATAAATTCAAGCGGATGCGACGTTGGAAAAGTATTGGTCTATCTTCAAACGGATTAACAAGAACTTGATGTCGTATAGTGTAAAGAATTGAACCCCAGGAAAACTTTTCCAGTGACTCCGGGATTCTTCGACCGATTTTTCCTAAAATTTCACATCAGTTGAAAGGAAGATTATTGCAGACAAAAGTTTTGTAAACAATCCCTCGTATATTCTCATTTCTTCGGATATCCTTTTTTTTGTTGTACAGTTATTTTCAATGGTTGCTAATATCCTCATCTTTTCTATATTGTTTGAGCATAAAACTAGTTTTATTTTAAACAGCTTTACTGTAAACGGTTTGTAACTGATAAGACTAAAACTTTCGTATTTTGAAGTATTACCCGGTTGACAATTCTTCTCAGTATATACTTTCCCTAAAGGCATCATCATTCATCCGTCTTTTATTATGTTTTAAAAAGCTGAACTGATTACCCCACTGTGTTGATATAAAGTGTCAAAACTTGAATCAATGAATTCATTAATATTCTCCATCGAAATCCTTATTTTCGATATATTTTATTCCTTGAATTTATTCACTTTTCTAAATTATGTTTTGCCTCACTATCAAGCGATACAATTACTACTCTGACTTCTCTCATATTTGAGTTTTTCATTCCATTTCTGTGTGTTAAAGTGTTACAGTAACTTGGACGAATGTGCATTTATGTTACGTCTTTTTGTACATTAACTATACCTGACCTTTGATATCGTAGGTACAACATGTATATGTATGGTTTTTTAATAGTTCTATATTGTCGTTTACATTTTATAAGTGTAGCTCAGCTTTCTACTGACTAAACAGTATTCACTTTTTGAATTTTTATTATATTTTTAATTTGTTATGTGTTATAATGATAAACTGTGCAACCACAATGACGTGTATGTTTTTAAAATTCCCTATCGGCAGTTTCACCTGTTGCAGAACAGTTCTCAAAAATCAATGTTCAATTCAGTTCAGTTCAGTTTAAAACAAATTTTACATTCAGCATCTTTCAGCATATTTGATAACTGATCATTGTAGAATGGAGACGTTTTTTTAATAGATAGATATATAAATAATTACATTCGTTTATTTCTAATGAAAAAAAAAGTTTCCTGGTTTACTTTTTTCTATAAAATCCAATAATGATTTACTGACCAGAATTAAAATAAAATTTCTATTCTCATTGTTTTATTCAGATGATGATGATGATGAACTCCAACAACAACATCAACTTAACCATGCATCAAATAGCGAAGATGATGATAGTTCAGTTATTGGTCTAAGTTGTATAGAGCAAAGAGAATCAGAATTTTGTCCAGCTCAAGAAGAATCGCCTAATACATGTACTGCAATTGTGCTAGCAGACTCTTTACCGTACAATGGATGTAGTTCATTGAATACATCTTTAAAAAATGAAAATATCTACCGTCATTCACCAAGTGGTACACAGAGTAAGATTGTTATGAGGTATTTTTTTTTTAATTATTTTATTTTACAGTGAATTTCCCTACATTCACTTTGTTAGAATAAAACACGTCACCAATTATTCGGACACATCAGGTTATGAACAAACATTCGTCTTCCAAGATATTTGTAAATAGTACATGGTACAAATCCACTGACCATCTTAAATGTTATTCATTCATAAATGGTTGATTTGGGAGACTTTGAAATAAGTGTTTTGTAGTATCGTGTAATTTTGTTTTTAGGTTTTTGAATCAAATAGGGGTCAAATATTTGTTAGTCCGGTTTGTGTTTGATTTTTATTGTCAACGGCTGTAGTGAATAATCAATCAATCAATAGCAACTTTAAACTTCGTACGTACATACATAAGTTCAGGCAGCCATACCACATTAGCACATAGATGTAATTGTCAATTCAAATCCCATAGTAGTAGTAGAGGTAGTAAAGGTATTAAAAGTAATCGGAGGGATTAGGATTAGAAGATATTATTCAAGAAGTAGAATCTAATGAAATAAACTTAAAAAGATAAAGATAAAGTGATGAAGAATTGAAAAGTTTTGGATTCGAGTGAACACAAAGGGTGAATGCACATGAGCCATGTCATTCAGGGTCCCTAACCGTCGATTACTTATCACCTCGCAGGCCCCAACCAGGTAGTCGACACATACCAACATGACTCAGTCTACTTGTCAGTGACTTCATGGATTTGTGCCATGTTTTGGTTTGACCGCCCCTAGCTTTCGTCCAATCTATTCCTACACCACAAAATATAGCTGGACGAGGCAGTCGGTGGTTAGACACACGCAACACGTCCAAACCACCTAAACTGATCAAGTTTCAACACTTCGTCTATTGACCTGCCATTCTTACCTAGCACCCATTTCCTAATAACAGCGTTGCTCACTCGGGTGTCCCAAGATATACGAACAATGCTTCGAAGGCACCTATAATCGAAAACCAGTAACCTACGAATATCTTCTACTCTCACTGGTCATGTTTCACAGCCATAAAGTAAGACGGAGCAAACTACTGCACAGTACAGTCATCCTTTAGTCAGCAGTCAAAGTCTCTGGAAGCCAATCGGCTGTAATCATAAAATAAAGAACGTCATTGATGTATCCAAAATTTGTTCACTTTATAAATCCTAATTGTCCTCAATAAACTGAAAACTTTAACCCATAGAGAAGAATAGGCACGCTAGTTTTGTAGTGAAGGAGAACACAGGTGAGGACAACCGAATTGTATTTAACAAAAATTACAGAGTTACTCAGTAAAATAGGAAAATCATATCGTAAACGGGTAATTTGCACATCTTCAATCCATCATCAATCCATTGTCTGACATTTCACCACTATTCATGCGTTTCATACAAATTCCATTGTGTTCCCCCCACTCTTCCTTTCTTGACCTTCCCCCATCTTCTGCTGCGCCAGACATTACGTTTTTACTCGCGTCATATACTACTTATAAGTAGCACGCACCACAGTTTGACCACACAACATTTATAGGTTGTTTTTTTATGTGTGTATAAAACTCGCTTGGTCCATATTGTTAAAGAACCCTTATTTGTTTTTTTTACATTTCACAGTATAAAATCACTTTTTCTATTTACCATTTTATCCAATAAGTGTTTGTTTGCATTGAATTCTTCTTAGGTTTTGTTGGACTTGTTAATTCTGGAATGACATGTTATATGAATAGTCTTTTGCAAACATTATTCATGACACCGGAATTTCGCAATGCTCTATATCATTGGCGTTTTGAAGGCACTGCAACAGAGGCTGTTACAAGTATACCATATCAATTGCAACGTTTATTTGTTCAATTACAGGTAATTATTGTTGAGTGATTTTTAATTTTTATTTTTCGCAATGTCTAACCCCCCCCCAGCATATGGATTGTTATTTCGCCTCTTTTGGGGGATGTTAGATCCCCAGAAATCGCTTGATAAATGCCTTACTTTGGATTTCACGTTTGCGAGCATAGGCTGATCAGTTGACCTTGAGAGTTCATTTTCCACCAGCAAAATCCTTGGCTGTGATTGGCTGCTGTGTATTTTAGTGTGCTATTTTCGTAACTGTCCGAAGGACGTTTCTATGATGTATAAATAAACGAGAGTTGTGTGCTTGATTGTATTGTGTGATTGCTGGGTGTTTGTAGAATATACTATCTACGCCTACCAAATCTTCTGTTTTGCAGTTTGGTATTCAAGGTAGCCTACCTGGACGCTGGTTCATTGTCCCGTTCGCGTTTATCGACTAAGGTGAACTCGTCATAGCTTCAAGCGTACCAAGTGACGAACATAACAGCCTCTTATAATGATAACCAAGATTTCGCGGGCGAGGGATTTGCCTTACTTCAAGTAGCCACAAGAATGTTGCTTACTTATGAGTTGTTCAGTTTTTCTGTTTATCAGTGTTGGAATCGTCTTGCTTTTTGTAGTGATGTATTCTCTAATTCATCCGGTTTTTTTCTCGGTTGAGATTTGATTTTCAATTTCTTGAAGTTCATACGCGGAAAAAAATTTATTCTGAAATGTGTAATAAAAACTCAAAAGCAAGAAAAAATGATTTCAAATCCTCATGTAAATAAAAACATAGAATTCAGTCAATATTTCATTATTTATAGAGTTTATTCCGGTCGTTGGTAGTTTTCTGACCTGATAGTAGTTTTTACACATTTAAAATCATCAATCAATCATTGTTAGACCACCATTAGAAACCTGAAAGAAGCAATGAACGATGGCCGTTTCGTCCTGGTATGGACGATTTCGAATACGTAAAAACGCAAATCTCCAAAACTCTAACTGAAAATATCGTAACAGTGCTCACTAGTGACTAGCTTCGTGAGGAAATTCTCAGAGTTCTAGTAATGAGAAGACGTGACCAATGGAGTTCAACCCTGTCGGGTGTAGGCAGTAACTACTACAAAAGACAAATGGGTGAAGTCGCGTAAAAATCCCTAGATCAATCAGAGTTAGACATTAACACCGTTGGATGCTGGCCGACCCAGTGGTCCGATGGTAAGGCGTTCGCCTACAATGCCAAATGTCCCGGGTTCGAATCCTGCGAGGTGTAGGAGTCGTGGATGCGCACTGCTGATGAGTCTCATACCAGGACGAAACGGCCATCCAATGCTTCCAGGTTTCTAATGGTGGTCTAACAATGATTGATTGATGATTTCAAATGTGTAAAAACGCAAACCTCCAAAACTGTGCCCCAAGATAGTAGTTTCATTTAAAACTCATAATCTCTTGCTGCCACAGTGTTGATAAATGAAGTGATCATTAAATTAAATTGCTCTCCGAATTGCTTTCAATTCTTTAAACAATAAAAATTGATTATTGAACTCTGATATTTTTTGTCCACGTTCTCAAACTGATTAGATCAATAGATTTGTTTGACTGATGATATTGGGAAATATGCTTTATCAATTTGCATAGACAACAGATTGTGTCTGAAAAATTATTTCCCTAAGATTTTAATGCAGTTTTGTGTTTCCCTTTTAAATAATCTAAACTTATCTAACTTTTTTTAGCTATTTTTTCATACTTCTAAATGATTTGGAGATTTGTGGTTGGTCTTTTTGTGCAATATTTCTTAATATAGCTGTTTTTTCCCCGTATTATTGCTCTTACTTATTGTGACTCAACTTGAATGATTCTCTCAGTCAGTCTGTCAGTCAACAACAACATAGAACTTCGTACGTACATACATCAGTTCAAGTTGTCATACCACATTAGTACAGAGATGCAATTGTCACTTCCAATCCCATAGTAGTAGAGGTAGGTAGTAAAGGTATTAGCAGTAATCGGAGAGTTCAGGGTTCGACGATATTATTCAAGAAGTAGAATCTAATGAAATAAACTTAAAAAGAAAAAGATAAAGGTGATGAATAATTGAGAAGGTTACGATTTAAGAGAACAAAAAGAATGAAACACATGGGGACGAGAATCTGTGGCAGTCATGAAAATAATAATGTAGGATTTAATTTGTCCTGCAGATGTAATTCTAGAACAGTAAACCCAATACTGGCGAGCACAGAGACTATGGGAAAGCTACATCTAGAAGAAGACCAACTTTGCTCTAAACTTTATCTGTTTCTCAATATAAAAGCAAATAGATTAGTACAATAAATAAGGAAATTATCAAGTAAGACGAGCAAACGTACCGACCAATCGAGCGTGTCTTATGGAAATGAGTACAGAGTTATGAGTCACATCAATATATAATAAGATAATAATGTCAATCAATTTGTAGGTCATTTACAACAAAGAAGGTTTACAGACACGTCAGATCAGATCACGTGATGGATGGTCGCTTAAACCACAATCTGATTGGTTAGTTATGGCGTAACTACAATGAGTAGTTATGAGACTAACTAACAAATAAATATCACTTGGTTAGAACTGGAAAGAAGAGCTCTGAGGACAACAGAGTAGTTAGAAGATTGTTAGTGGTTGGTGTCTCATGCTCTACAAGGGTTAACAGGCGTGGCGTAAGTAAGCAACTCAACACAACCACTACACAGTGAAACTACGGTCCATGTGACTGAACTGTGTGTTCTTCATGTAGGAGTTAGTCATCAAGTTTGTAGGAATGCACTACTTATCAGTGTATGATTAAAATACAAGTTGGTATATATATATATATATATATATATATATATATATATATATATATATATGCATTACGGGGTTGTGAAGATTGTTAAGTTACACATTTTTGAAACCATGAATCGATCATTATTAGACCACCATTAGAAACCTGGAAGCACTGGACGGCCGTTTCATCCTGGTATGAGACTCCTCAGCAGTGCGCATCCACGACTCCTGCATCCCGCAGGATTCGAATCCAGGACCTTCGGTATTGTGCGCGAACGCCTAACCATCGAACCACTGAGCCGGTATTTAACGGTGTTAATGTCTAACTTGATCAAATTCACGGAGTTGCGCAATCTCATACACAGTCTTCGGTAGTTACTGTATACACCCGAACAGGTTGAACTTCACTGGTCACGTCTTCCCACTAGAACTCGGAGAAGATTCCTCACGAAGCTAGTCACTAGTGAACACAGGTAATTTGCATTATGAGGTTGTGATTCAATAATAACTCCTTAAGCATGGCATAGGGAAGTGAGATAGGTTTTTCTGGATATGCCAAAGTTTTTAATAAGCTGTACGCTTCTTTTCCGATGAATGTCAGGAAATGAGCCACAATTTTATCATCTTTAACATCTTTCTTGGTCATACTCCAGATTTCAAACCTTTCCAAATAATCTTCAAAAGCTTCAGAAGTACAATGAATATCTAACTGTTCCATTACAAGTTCCATCTCGACGCCAATATGATGATTAGAAGTATGTGAATCAAGAACTATGGGATGAGCACAAACGAATCTACTGTATTTAGAATTTGAAATCAAGCATTTAACAACAACAAGAAGTCACTAGTTAATTCAAACACCACAGTTACACATCCTGCGGGCTGCAGGAGTCATGGATGCGCACTGCTGAAGAGTCCCATACCAGGACGAAACGGTCGTCCATTGCTTCTAGGTTTCAAATGATGGTCTAACATTGATCGATTCATGGTTTCAAAAATATATATATATATATATGTATATATATATATATTATAAAAATTTTTTGATTAATTATCCAAAAAATGTTTATTTTTTCTATTTTTTCTTGCTATTCAGACCACAGAAAGTACAGCGATTAGTACAAATGGTGTAACTACTTCATTTGGTTGGGGTTCATGTGATATAGCTGAACAACAAGATATTCATGAATTATGTCGAATATTATTTGATGCTTTAGAAAAGAAATTAGGTTGTTCAAAATTACTCGGTGAAAATCAAACACCCATTGATAATAATTCTATTAATACTACTACTACTACTAATAATAATAATAATGATGATTTTGACAGAGATTCAAACATCAACACTACCATTAATACAAATAGTAATAATAATAATCATACTGATAATATTTCCGATGATAATGATGTTGATGTTGGTGTTGATGATCAAAAACAGACCAATAAACATTCAAATAATCCAGTATCCACATTCAATTTAATTAATCGTTTATATCAAGGTGAACGTTCGGATTATGTACGTTGTTTGCATTGTAATCGTGTTAGTTGGCGATCGGATACATTTTTAGATATTCAAGTACCATTGAGATCATTCGAGCTGAATGCTAAACCATATGAAAGTTTAGTAAGTGTTGATGTGATGATGATTGTACTGTTTTTCTCTCTGTCTCTGTCTATCTCTCTAAAAATTGTGTCATGCATAATGTGTATGTTTATGCAATAGTAGTACACAAAAAGATTGTGCTGGTGTAGTAAGGTTTTTAGAAAAATTCGTATTATTTATTTATTTGAACAGATAAACATTGGTACAAAATGTCGCCGATATATATATATATTTATATATGCGCCTCACAAATCAATGGATTTGTGTTTGTGTGTGTATACTGGCTGGACTATTATTGTCCATGTACCTAAATCGAAGCTGGTGGCTTTGTCTAGGGTGTGTCTCCTTCAGCAGCTGACTTAGAAGACAGTGGAGCAATGTTAGTAGTTGACAGTCCCATGGTGGTAGTCAGTAGTGACGAAGAATAAGTTCAGAACATAAAGTCTATATATATATACACACCATTGATTTCGAACTTGACATCACCTCTTCATTTCAATTCCACAAAAAACGTTATTTGTTTGTGAAGACAGTCAGTCAGTTGCAACGTAGAACTTCGTACGTATGTACATCAGTTCATGTTGCCATACCACATTAACACAGAGACGCAAATGTCAATTCAAATCCCATAGTGATAAAGATAGTGTAGAGGTATTAATGGTCATGAAGAAGACTAGGGTTTGAAGATATTATTCAAGAAGTATAATGCAGTGAGTGAGATAAGGTTAGAAAGACAAAGGTAGAGGTGCTGAAAAATTTAGAAGATTAGAATTTGAGAGAACACAACGAATGGATGCACCTGGGCCATTGCAAACGATTTTGAGCCATGTCGTTCAAGGTCTCTAACCATTGGTGACTTTCGTCTCGCGGACCCCAACCAAGTAGTCTACTTGTACCAACATGACTCAGTCCACTTGTCAGTGACTTCATGGATTTCTGCCATGTTTTGGTTTGGCCGCCCCTAACTTTCTTCCAACTTATTCCTACACCACAAAACATAGCTCGTCGAGTATGGCTTCTCTGGACGAATTTAAAATCACGATTTTATAAGAAATCGAATTATGAGAATAAACTTTTCTCATCGTTTGTTCTACTGGAGCATTTAGCAGTGATAATTACTATTATGTATGCTTATAAAATGAGTCACTGTCCGTGTATATTGATTCTATTAGTCTAAGAAAGTATACTTCTCAAATTCTATAGACAAATTTATTCAGCTGTTTGGCTAATGGAACAGTAGGTTGGAGGGAAGCTAGAATTTCAATTCATTTCAAACAGTCATTGGCTATGAGACTAATCTATATCGGTAGGTTTAAATTTCACAGTTAAGATCTTCAACTGCAAAAATATTCCGCACTCTCTTCAAAAAAGTTTGGGATGAATAACAAGTACCAACAGATTGGAAAGAAGGATACTTCATCAAAAAGATCAAGGAACGGCAATCTCAGCAAGTGTGAGGTCTGTGGAGGGATCACTCTTCTCTCAATACCAGGAAAAGTCTTCAACAGGGTGTTGCTATACAGAATGAAGGACTTCGTAGACGCCCAAGTTCGAGATGAACAGGCTGGATTTCGTAAGGATCGATCGTGTACTGACCAAATTGCTACATTACGGATCATTGTGGAACAATCCATTGAATGGAACTCATCACTCCCCATCAACTTCATTGACTACGCGAAAGCATTTGATAGCGTGAACAGAACAACACTATGGAGGCTTCTTCGACACTACGGCGTGCCTGAGTAGATAGTCAACGTCATACGGAATTCTTATGATAGATTAAAGTGAAAAATCGTGCACGGAGGATAGCTGACAGACTCTTTCGAGTTGAAGACCGGTGTCAGGCTAGGTTGCTTACTCTCACTCTTTCTCTTTCTCCTGTCAATCGATTGGATTATGAAGACGTCAACATCTGGAGGAAAGCACGGGATACAGTAAACGGCTCGGATAAAGCTGGACAATCTGGACTTCGCAGATGATCTGACCTTTCTGTCGCGCAAGTGCAAGAGAAGACGACAAGTGTAGTAGCAGCACGTCTCAACATTTGTAAAGGGATAAGCAAGATTCTGCGATACAACACAACATGCGCCAACCATATCAGTCTTGATGAAGAAGCCTTGGATGACGTTAAAACCTTTACTTATCTGGGCAGCATCATCGACAATCAAGGTGGATCCGATGCAGATGTAAGGGAGCGGATCGGCAAAGCAAGGACTGCATTTCTACAATCGAAGAACATCTGGAACTCCAAACAACTATCAACCAACCCCAAAATCAGGATTTTCAATACAAATGTCAAGACAATTCTACTGTGTGTGGCGGAAACTTGTAGAACTGTGAAAGCCATCATTCAGAATATACAAGTATTCATTAACAGTTGTCTACGCAAAATACTTCGGATTCGTTGGCCAGACATCATCATCAACAATCGACTGTGGGAGACAACAAATCAGATCCTTTGCTTGCTAATTTATTCTTTTCATGTACTGATATAAAGTGTGGTGTCTTAGATCATTACATAATTGTGCTAATGTAGTGAAGGAGAACACAGGTGGGCAACCGAATTGTATTTAACGAAAATGACAGAGTTACTCAGTAAAATAGGAAAACCATATCGTAAACCGTTAATTTGCAAAACATCAATCCATTGTCTGACATTTCACCACTTTTCATGCGTTTCATACGCGAATTCCATTGTGTTCCCACTCTTCTTCCTTTCTTGATCTTCCCCCATCTTCTGCTGTCAGACATTACGTTTACAGTCGCGTCATATACTACTTATAAGTAGCGCGCACCACACTAAGTCTATTGTTTTGTATAACTATTGACTATTATTCATTTAAGAGATCTGTAAACGATCAATAATATTTTGCTGCAGATGTTTTTATCTGTTGTGTTGTGTTCTTGACGGAAAAACATTTTCAAAGTATACATTTTTTTTATCGATTTCATTTTAGGAAGCTGCTTTTCGATCATTGATTAAACCGGAACGCTTAGATGGCACTAATCAATACTGGTGTTCTTATTGTGAATGTAAACGTGATGCTGAACGAGGTTGTGCATTTCATAAAATGCCATATTTACTCACTTTACAATTAATGCGTTTCACATTTGATCCGATCACATTGAATCGAATTAAATTAAATGATAAATTCACTTTTCCATTGGATCGTTTCGATTTATCGGAGTTTGTTACACCAAATAAAAGTTTTGATTTATTATTGGAAGCTAAGAAATCAGAAGAGATGATTGATGAAAATGATCATAACAATTCCGATGAATATGAACCAATGTTTTCATCTTGTTGTAGTGGTAATCCAGTGAAAATTAATAATAATAATAATAATAATAATAATATTCAAAATAATGTTGAAAATAATTTTCTCATAAATAATAACAGTGATCAGATTATTTCGTCAGATAATTATTGTTCTGAAAGTATGGAAACTGAGGCGACTGATAGTGGGGTGAATAGTAATACTGATAGGTAGGTTGATGTATATATTTATATACTTATTCGTAATTTGTGTATTTCTCCCTATGGTCTTCAATGAGTTTTTCTAGTTTGCAAAATATTTTCATTGCATATGCTAATGTGATGGTGATGGTGGTGTTGCGTTCTCTGACTGAGCTGAATGCTATTTTTGTTATGGAGCTTTCATTGTTGCTCGCTCTTCTGCTGAACAACAACAGCCTCATCATCATCAGCAGCAGTACAAACTTCAGATAGGACAGAAGTGAAGTATTCAAATTTCTCTATGTGGTATGACTCGTAGCTTGTTCTGTGTTAGGATATTCACTCAAGATCCTAAGAGAATTATTATTGGTCAATTCCTATTGGTTAATTCCTATTGGTCAATTTTATGGTTGTCCTAGATATATCAATGTCACGTGTTCCAATGTTGTTTCTTATTGGTTGTCCTGACTATCAATGTCACTTCAAATGTTGTTTCCTATTGGTCGTCTTAACTGTCAATATCACAGACTTCGATGTTGTTTTCTATTCGACCAAAATGTATAATTACGCATTATGTATAATGTTTTATGACCACGACCAGGACCCGGTCTTGAATCCCTAGTCCGGGATCCTGATTCTCTTCTGGACTCGGACCTCGTACTTTCTGGATGCTTGTAGAATACAGGTTCTACTTCATATCAAGTCTTGTCTTATTTTTACTCAATATAGGGGGGTTGGGATAAACGGATTTGAGTAGCATGTCGTGTCGTCGGATCCTCGATCCTCGGTCTCGTTTTCCGACTAGATAAACTCGTAATAGTTCAAGTATATCAAGTTGACGTGTTTACGTGCAGGCGTAACATTCTGTTAACTTCGGTCTTGATTGGTTGTCGTTGACATCAAGTCTGTTGTTGTTTGCACTTTTATTTTGATTAGTATCCCTCTTTTTGATCTGTTTCTTCGACCTTATGTTTGTCTATTATTTTTCTGATTGGTTGATAAATTGGATCAATGTCGATGTGTTGTTTGTTGATTGCTGATTGATCTGAGTGCCAAGATTCTAAAAATTTTCTAGTGTGTTTGTTCTTTGCGCTCCCCCCCTATCCAGTATTTCCACATTGTTCCAATCGAAAGTATGTCCATAATATTGTCCGTATGTATTGATATAAACGAAGAGTTGTCGTGGTGTTTGACTGCTAATTGGTTGGTGTTCACGCAACCGAAGCTGAAGAGGTCGTCCACTTTGTCCTACGTAGTGTTTTTCACAGTCTGAGCAATTGTTTGTTTTGTAGATGATATTTGGTTTTTCTTCTTTTGTCATTTTATCCTTTGGTCTACTCACATAGGATTGATTGAAGTGATTCTGTTGATTTGTGTGCTACACCTTTTCCAAATGGTCTCAGTAGTCGTGTGAATTCTTTCATTCAATTGTTACTTCATTAGCTTACTTGTTATACTCTAGATTATTACATTAGAACAACTGGTCTTTTGTTTTGAGTGTTCGTGTCAATTCAACATCTGAAGTATTCTAATTAATCGGTTTTTTAATAGTAAGTAATCTGAGTACTGATTTCAGATATGGAAATAAATCATAAAGTATATTTATATTGAGGGATACTACCCCTAACTCAGGTCTTATATGGTCGAAAAATGAAAATTTCGGAAACGCGAAAAAAATCATTGCCCGACATGAGACAAAGGGTAATAGAAGTGCTTGGGCCTATTCGCATCAAGCTGGGCTGCCTCTTCTATTATCCTACGCCATATATGATGCTATACTGCTATATAGAGCTGAAGGTCTCCTATGAGACTAGATGTTCGCTGTGAATATTGTGGATGGCTTTGCTTTGCTTTGGTAAGCATTGTTAACAGTACATGTACAAAATTGGTTAACAGGGTGACTGATTTCATTGATATGGGTGGTTGTTTTGCAACATTCTTGAGGGCAATTGTCATTGGGGTGCTGTATTACTACATATCACCATTGCTAATAATAATGAATTTGACAGTCGTGTAAGCGGGATGAGTCGAAATGGCCTGTTCATGCGGTGCATGTTGATTGATGCGATCATGGATCGAAAATATATATATACCAGTGTGTGTATATGAAATGGTGTGAATGGTCCACCAGGGTATCAGGTACCACCTGTGTGGTTGTACCACAGGATTGAACCGAACTGTTCATGTAGTAATGGTAAAACGTGTACAGTCTCTTTGGTTCTCCTAAAAACTAATGTAAAATTGCCCTTGACAATACAGGGTAAATTTATATAGTTGTGAATAATTGAATTGAAACTTATATTGACAACTTTGAGGGAACCAATCACAATTCAGATAATGTTTCATGTATTTTGCGCGAAATTTAATGCGCAGCGATAAGATAACTCGTATGCTAAGGTAAAAGTTCGGAATTTATGATCCTTACAGTGCTTGATGAAATCACTATGAACCGAAAAAATTGGTGAATGGAAAATATTTCTTAAGCTAAATTACAATAATAATCGATGGTTAGAGACCATGAGAGAGTGACATGGCTCAAAACCGTTTGCAATGGTGCAGGTGCAATTACTCTTTGTGTTCCATAAAATTCTAATCTTATGAATTCCTCATCATCTCTATCTTTCTTTTTCTAAATTTACCTCACTGAATTATACTTTTTGAATAACATCTTCGACGAACCTTAATCTTTCCGATTACTTCTAATACTTTTACTACCTCTACTACTATGGAATTTGAATTGACAATTCGATGTCTCTGTGATTATGTGGTATGGCAACTTGAACTGATGTACACGCGTACGTACGACGTTGCACGTTGTAACTGACAGAAGCTAAATTACAAAACATTACTTGCTCTTCAAGCAAATCGTATAATAAAGTTCTTATTGTGATTGAATGCCATCAGCAAACGTTTTTACTAAAGTTCGATAGTAATATTTCTACTTTCTAATATTTACTCTAAGTTTCTAAGCAGTATAATGGCTGATCTCAGTTCATGATATATATATTCGTAACTGTAATTTTTAATAAATACACCCAAACTCAGAACTCCCCCCAGCTTATAACCTGTTGGTGTCAGTTAGTGATAATAACTCTCTCTGTATGAGGATAACTGTAACTCATAAAACTTGTTTCATGTTTTTGAACGGTCAACTTAGCCTTTTCCTTCCATGACACAAGGTATAATTCGATATGTGACAGTTGATTATTCAGATCACATAACGCGATATTATTTTACTGATATTTATTTTTTTATAGCTTTTAGCTATTGATTGTTATATATATATAGTTAAGCAATGTTTTCTGATTGGCTGATAGCCAGCTCAAGGTCATCCGTCATCAGTACATGATAATTTTTCCAAAATAAATCTTCCATTCAATTCTTCTGTATACTGCTGCTACACTTAAGCTAATCTTGTTTATTCGACGATATGCATCAAAAACCAAATACAACAAATTCAACTGAGTGAATTTATTTCATGCATCCTTGTTTTACCCAGACAAAAAAACTTTAGATGAGTAAGAAGTAGGAAAGCGTAGCGCAGAGATGAAAAGCGCACCAACTGCATTTTGATAAAGCTCTAAAGAAATGCGATTGGCGCATACATGCGCTCAAATCAGAAGCAGTCAAGGTCATAAAACGAGTCATTGACAAGGTCAGATGTATGTGTGCGCGTGCATAAAATGACTAGTCGAAAAAAATATAAATTGATTCATTTGTCTCAAAGTTAGAATAACTTATGTATGTAGACATGACATAGCGTTTGTTAAAAAACAATTTTAGGTCGCATTTCAAACTTTTGATCCATTCAACTCACTTAAAGTGCAATTGAAATTAATGTAACTCAGAAATGATATTTAGTTCTGTGTACTAGTACTGTAGTGAAGGAGAACACAGGTGAGGGCAACCGAATTGTATTTAACGGAACCTACAGAGTTACTCAGTAAAATCGGAAAACCATATCGTAAATCGTTAATTTGCAAAACATCAATCGATTGTCTGACATTTCACTTATTTATGCGTTTCATACAAGTTCCATTGTGTTCCCAATCTTCCTTTCTTGATCTTCCTCCATCTTCTGCAGCCAGACATTACGTTTACACTCGCGTCATATACTACTTATAAGTAGCGCGCACCACACTACTACTAGCCTTTGAGACAAGATATTTTGTGTATGATGTAGTGATATTAATACTCAGTTTTCTAAATTGCAATAAGTTGACTGGTGGTATATGAAATCTGTGTTGTTGTTTTAATAACAAAAATGTTACGTATGCCCAACCGCCGACTTCCTTGAAGAGCGATGCATTGTAGTTGTAGGAGTAGGTTGGAAGAAAGCTCAGGGTGGTGGCCAAACCAAAACATGGCACAAATCCATGAAGTCGCTGATAACAAGTGGACTGAGTCGACTACCTTGTTGGGGTCCGCGAGATTATAGTAATCGACGGTTAGAGACCTTGAATGACATGGCTCAGAATCGTTTTGCGATGGCGCAGCTGCATCCATTCTTTGTGTTCTCTAAAATTTTCATCATCTGGATTCTTCATCATCTCTATCTTTCTCTTTCTAAATTTATTTCACTTTATTATACTTCTTCCCTACCGTAGCTGCTACCTTGACGTGGTGGTCGGGATTGCCTATCGTGATGACCCAACCGAGCTATATTCGTTGAAACATATGTTCCTGAAGGTTCTACTATGTCAGGCAGATCGATTGGAGAACGATGAGACTAAAAGCAGCTACTCAAGGTCTGAGGGCGAAGTCGTACTACAAACTGACTGCAGAGGGGTGTGACAGCAGTAAGGTGTTTCCCTAAAAATGTCACACCTCACCCTACCTTACGGATTTCCGTCTCCTTGGGTAAGGGTGCCCACTAAGGGCTTTTAAGAGCAGAGCAAACACTCAAAAAACCTTTCGTAAATAGGCCGTGTGTGACCGGCCTCAAGCAGTTGTCCCTTGGGCTCTGCGGTCAAACAGTCAGGTCTCTAAGACCGACACTAATCTACCTACCTTTTCAGATCCCTCAAGAAACAACCTTCCACAGTGTGGGCAGCCGGGAAGTGACAACCGCCCTCATACTCGTAACAGCACACGAAACCAAATTGGTCGAAATCAAATCCTTCCTATACCCACACATACCTCTCTTCTCTCGACAACTAACTCTACTCACATTCGCCTATCTCACTGCACCGCTAATGCAAACGATGTGAGTTCACGAAATATCATTCATGGTCTCTTGAAACCCCATTCTAGACTACATATAGTTAGAGACCCTGAATGACGTGTCTCAAAATCGTTCGCAATGGCGCTGGTGTGTGTTCTCTCAAATCTTAATCTTCTGGATTCGTCAGGACTTCTAGTTTTGTCTTTCTAAACTTATCTGATCATTCTCCAATCGACCTGCCTGTCACGATATAACCTACAAAAACATATATTCCAGCCAGTATAGCTCGGTTGGGTCATCACGATAGTCAAGCCCGACCACCACGTCAAGGTAGCAGCAGCTACGGTCGGATCAAATGAAACAATATATTTTTTATTTATTTAATAAATCTGTTTGTTTTTTTTAAAAAATTTTCTTTTCTTTTCACATTCAGTCCATTCGATGGTGTATCATCTGGCAGTCCTACAGTTGGTTCACCAAATATTGAAGAAGAAGACGTAGAAGACGTAGAAGACGTAGAAGAGGAAGAAATGGATGAATTGTCCGATTTTAGTGGTGGTTTTGATGCAACACATACTGTGACAAATAATTCTGTTCTAATGAAAGTTGCATTTAATATACAAGAAAATTTACATAACACTACTACTAGTACTACTACTACTACTTCTACTACTACAACTAATACTATCAATACTACTAATACTAATATTAGTAGTAGTGAAATAGATGATGGTATCTCATCAGAATGTACATGTTCATCAATTTCTAGTTTATCTACTACTAATGATCATGCTAAACAATTGTCTAATGATGAAAATCAACAAATTCATGGTATAATTCATCAACATTCTAATAAACGGAATAATATGCCGATGACTAGTAGTAATGAGAATGAATTGGTGAATTCTATGCCGCAAGAACAACAACAACAACAACAACCTGTTCATTCATCCAAATCATTAGTTTATGAATTATTCTCAATTATGGTACATTCAGGTTCAATTAATGGAGGACATTATTATGCATTTTTAAAGTGAGTTTTGTTTGCACGGGTTGTTTTTTTTTTCATTTTGAGCATTGGCTTTGTAGCTTCTTCTTTTCGTTTTTGTGCCTTAAACGTTTGTGGTTTACGGTTAGTTATATATAGTTAAACAAAATGGAAATTCTTTCAATGATATCTTTATGTTTGTTCGTGATGCGGTTCTTCCCGGTTGAAATGCAAAACTGTTGCTTCAAGATTGGGTTGCATCGGCACCTGAACTAGTGATAGAGAGTGAAGTACTCGAACGTGTAGACCGCTTCACTTATTTGGGGAGTTTCATCACTGCTGATGGCCTAGTGACTGATGAAATCTGAGCACAGAAGGCTCGATTGGCTTTTGCCAACTTGCGTTACTTATAGCGTAGGCAAGATATCCGTTTGCTGACCAAAGGACGAGTGTACTGTGCAGCAGTTCTCTTTGTCCTACTTTATGTCTGTGAAACATGGCCAGTGAGAGTAGAAGATATTCGTAGGTTACAGGTTTTCGATCATAGGTGTCTTCGTAGCATTGCTCGAGTATCGTGGGACAGTCGAGTGAGCATCGTTGTTATTAGGCAATGGGTGTTGGGTAAGAATGGCAGGTCAATAGATTAAGTGATGAAACTTCATTACCTGAGGTGGTTAGGATATGTACTGCGTATGCCTATGATTCATTCTGTGAATCAATTCTTCTTTTTTGAATCATACTTTCTGTATCTAACCTTTTCTTACTATCACTGATACTTTTACTATTCTGGTATACATCTACATTATTCCATCACACTATGTTGTCGATTTCGTGTAACAGTTGTTAACAGTTCATCTACTCATCTGGTTGGACATTATATATTTATAAATTTACTCTGTATTGTTAAGGGCAATTTTACATTGATTTTCAAAGCAGAACCAAAGAGACTGGACACGTTTTACCATTATTACATGAACAGTTCGGCTCAATCTTGTGGTGCAACCACATAGGTACCTGATACCCATGGATGTACATTGATGATAACTTATTGATTGTATAAATGTTTTCCTTTTTTTATGTTCAAGCCTTAATTAAATCATATTGGGAGGTGTATAGTGTTCAATTCGGTCAAATTAAGATACATTTTTTGTGAATTCACATAAATTTATGATCAAACGAATCGTCTTGATCAATGCACCTATCGCAGCAATATGCCCTGTTCTATTCTCCAAACCCTTGTCTTTTCAAAAGATAAATTACCTTATGTTCGTTCATGTTGCAATTTTTTTCGGGCCATTGTAACAATCTTTTTTATTTTATCTGGTTTGGAAATTTTTTACCCTAGATCTTTCACAGATGGTCAATGGTATAAATTCAATGATCAACTTGTTGTTCCTACAACGGAAGAAGCATTACAAGCTACATTTGGTACAAATGAATCAACTTATCTTAGTCATTCAAATGCTTATTTTTTAATGTATCGACAAATTGATCCAAAATTGAATGAATCATTCATCAAATCAGAAGATTTCCCGGAACATATTAAAAAATTGGTTAGTTTTTCTTCTTATTTTTTGGTTTTATTTTCTTTTTCTCAAAGATCACCACATACATATCACTTTCATAATGCTTCACTGTATAGCTGAAATGAAACTATGAAAAAGATGTCGACCATTGAAAGCTTATTTTCATTAAGTACAATGTGTTTTATGCACCATGCTTCATTACTATCTCTGCTTATGGTCTAATGACATGGCTAAAAATCGTTTGTAATAGTGCAGATGCATCCATTCGTTGTGCTCTCTCAAATCTTAATCTTCTGAATTCGTCAACACCTCTACTTTTGTCTTTCTTAACTTATCTTACTGAATTATACTTCTTGAATATTATTTTCAAATCTTAATCTTCTCCGTTATCAGTAGTACATCTACTATCTCTGCCACTATGGGATTTGAATTGACAGTTCCGTCTCTGTGCTGATGTGGTATGGCAACTTGAATTGATGTACGTACGTACGCACGAAGTTCTACGTTGTAACTGACTAATTGACTCCTATATTCAGCTACTCCTCTAACTGAAGTTCACATGTTAAGTAAGATTTCAAGTTCGTAGTACATGTTAGTGACTTCATAAAGCAGCGGCGGCGTCAGATTTTGATGTGTACATCTTTAGTAGACAGTAAGTAATATGCTTATGTTTTACTCATGACTAAAACACACACACTATAGTTAATTCATGTTTAAAAATCTCATGCATAGATCAGTTCAGCACTGCTGTTCTGCAAATTTCATTCTAACACAATAATGTCTGTTATTTTTGTCTTATGATATTCAAGTAATGCCAGAGAGTGACATATATATTTATCTGCTACACTTGAGAGTCATAAAATTGTATGATACACAATACCGACAAACTGTTCTATAATCTGATCATTCGTTGATAATTAGTAAGATATTTTACCTAAAGTCAAATGTGATCTATTTTGTGACATTTCATAGTAAGGTTTTTCATCTTTGCCCTATGACGACTGTGTTAAGCATCAATTCTTTAAGCACGACTTCAATTCCTAAATAAGTCACCTTCTTTTACACTCAATCATTTTATTCTCCATAAATTTGAGCATCATCAGTCAGCATGACGAAAATTCTGCGCTAAATAACTCTTAAATAACTCCGTATAGAATATTTCTATTGGGACATGTTTTACGAATGCCATACCATAGGCTGCCTCGACGAGCTATGTTTTGCGATGTAGGAGTAGGTTGGAAGAAAGCTAGGGGCGGCCAAACCAAAACATGGCACAAATCCATGAAGTCACTGAAAAGTGGACTGAGTCATGTTGGTAGATGTAGGCTATCTGGTTGGGGTCCGCGAGACGAAAGTCACCGATGGTTAGAGACCTTGAACGACATGGCTTAAAATCGTTTGCAATGGCACAGGTGCATCCACTCTTTGTGTTCTCTCAAATTCTAAGCTTCTGCATTCCTCATAATCTCTACCTTTCTCCTTCTAAATTTATCTTACTGAATTATACTTCTCGAATCATATCTTCGCTCCCTAATCTTCTCCATTGCTGCTAATACTTCTACTATCGCTATCACTCTTGGATTTGAACTGACAGTTGTGTTTCTGTGCTGATGCGGTATGGCAACATGAACTGATGTATGTACGTACGTACGTACAAAGTTCTACGTTGTAACTCACTGACTGACTGAGTGCATAGAATATTTGAACTGTGTATGTAAAATGCCATGCAGTTTAAATAAACTATCATATCATTAAACTTTCACTTGCCTTTTTCACCTAGAAATCTTTGGAACTGGGTATGTTATATTACCTTAACAATTGACATAAAAAATTATTACAGTCTATGATAGACGCTCTGGTTTTTTTTTGACGATAGACATTTAGGTATGTGTTGTAGTTGAACGTCTATAAACTGTTTTTCGATGATAAAAATGACTATATGAATCAAGTTGATTTAGAATAACAGTGTTTCCGCACACACACACACACAGCAGTATGGTTCGGGGGCTGGTTATATGTTGGGGATGTTAGATCCTCAGAACTCGCTTGATAAATGCCTTATTTTGGATTTCACGTTTGCGAGCATAGGACGATCAGTTGATTATGAGATTTCATTTCCCACCACGAAAATTCATAACTGTGATTAGCTGCTGTGTATTTCAGTGTGCTATTTTCGTGACTGTCCCAAGGACGTTTCTATGATGTATAAATAAACGAGATTTGTGTGTGCTTGATTGTATTGTGATTGCTGGGTGTTTGTAGAATATACTTTCTACGCTTACAAAGCTTTTTTACTTCAGCTTGGGATTCAAGGTAGCCTATCTGGACGCTGGTAATTGTCTCGTTCGCGTTTATCGACTAAGGTGAACTCGTAATAGCTTCAAGCGTATCAAGTGACGAACATAACATTATAGTTTTGTTTCTGTACTAATTATAGCCTGCTACGTCTTATGTGTAAACTTTTAAGTATTCTCCCTAAATGGTTTGAGTGAAGTCTGACGGATGATTACTTACTTACATCGCCGACCACTGTTCTCCGACCAACTCTCTCTTGGGTTACCCTTTCCATTTCTGTCCAATTTTTGTCCATTCTCATATCTTTCTTTATTTGTTGGCCTTCCTCTTTTCCCTTTGACCTTGTGGGTTCCATGTGAGGGCTTGTCTTGTGACGCAGTTGGGTGCTTTTCGCAGTGTGTGTCCTATCGACTTCCAGCGCTTCTTTCTGGAGGATACAACAGGCTAATAACTTTTTAATATTATCTGAACACATAAAAGCATGTGAATTGAGATAAGGAAGACTAAAAAATAAACTAGTCAGATGGTGGTGATTTTCACTTAAGGCAGATGAAAACATTTCAACATTAGAAGAATATGTATTCTTGATGGCAACTTTGTTGTCCTGTTAATTTGGGCCCCAGTTACGTAATCAGTATCAAGAAAAATGGATTCGGAAGATCCTAAGATAGATATGTTATGTGCTTGTCATAATGCTGCTACGTAGCTATTTAAATCCTACCGACGTCCGAATTCAAATATCCCAGTACGACCCAAATACTATTCCCAAATCTCCTATATATCAGAACGCAACACCGTGGAATGGAGTTGTTTATTGGGTCAAGTACAGAAGAGAGGTAGGCAGGAAGAAACGGAATCGGAATCATGAAGTCTTACAGATAGTGCATATTTATACATTTAGGTCGAATCGGAAACAGCAGCAAGGTCTGTGCCATTGACAGTTTAGGACGACCAATAGGAAAGAACATTTGAAATGACATTGACAGTCCGGAAAACCAATCAGAGACAACCTTGAAATATTTGACTTTGACATTTAAAACGACCATAATTTTGACCAATAGAATTATACTTCCAGAGATAGTACTCTTAGGATATTTGTTGAATATCCTAATCTTTAGTTTGTAGTGTGACACTGGTAAGCGAATGAGCGACTGAAGTGAATCGTATGAACAAGCGCTATAAGATAAAATCGTTATGCGAGCGCAGGAAAGCAGGCAAGTGAGTGAATAGGCGAATGAACGGATGAAGTAATGTGGAGAAAGGCTAATGAGCCAAGTCCTAGAGATAGAGCATGACTAAGAATATATAGTCAGACAAATAGAAGACAGACATGTGACAAGCGAAATAGGCATCCACACACACATGAATAAAAGCGACGAATGATTGACAAGGTCAAATGACAAGTGATGAGACACGTCATGTGAGCTCATCATACAAACCAGATCATAATAAGAACGAATGGCAATACAAATTGGTTTGGTTAAATAAAAATTAATCGACAGAGCTTAACCAAATTAAATGTAAACGAACTGGAATATTATATGTGGAGGCACTACAAGTTGTATCCTCTAAAAAATATAACTAATAACCCTTCCTCTATTTTTCTCTCTGTATATATAGATTCAAGAACTACGCGATGAAGAGAAAGGTATTGCTGAAGAAAAAGAAAGAGAATTAATGGCTTGCAAGGTATGCCTTTTATTTTTTTAAATGTATGTATGTTTGTGTGGTGAACTGCTTGTTACACTCCATCGTTGTTGTGTTTTTTTATATCAGTATAAAAAATTTCATCATTTCTGTGTATCGCATTATTAAAGTGTGATTCGATTATTTTCTGCGCAATATCATTATTTAGAAGTGATCATTTCCTTTTCTCTTTAACGTCAACTCATTCATGCTATTGCGTAATCATGCTTAAATATCATCATTACGTGAATATAACTATTTCATACTGAAGATGATTAGAATGTTATTGATCTTTACTTACACGAACTATAATATATCGTTGTCGGTTACAATGTAGAACTTTGTACCTACGTACGATGTGCATCAGTTCAGGTTGTCATACCACACATTAGCACTGAGAGATTGAATTGTCAGTTTCATATCCCATAGTGGTAGAGATAGTAGAAGTATTAGCGGTAATCGGAGAGATTAGGATTCGAAGATATGATTCAAGAAGTATTATTCAGTGAGATAACTTTAGAAAGAGAAAGATAGAGATGATGAGGAATTCAAAAGGTTAGAATTTCATAGAACACAAAGAATGAATGGACCTGCGCCATTGCAAACGATTTTGAGCCATGTCGTTCAAGGTCTCTAACCATCCGTGACTTTTGTCTCGTGGACCCCAGCCAGGTAGTTTATATCTACCAACACGACTCAGTTCATTTGTCAATGACTTCATGGATTTGTGCCATGATTTGGTTTGGTCGTCCCTAGCTTATCAAGGCTTAGTGTATTATCTCCTAACAATTTTTTAAAGACCTTCAGATGAAATTATTGGGTTCGTCACTAAGTATTCTTGAGGCTATTACAAGTTTGCCTTAGTCAATAAACGCGAACGAGACAATTACCAGCGTCCAGGTAGGCTACCTTGAATCCCAAGCTGAAGGAAAAAAGGCTTTGTAAGCGTAGAATGTATATTCTACAAACACCCAGCAATCACAATACAATCAAGCATACAACTCACGTTTATTTATACGTCACAAAAACGTCCTTAAGACGGTCACAAAAATTGCACACTGAAATACACAGCAGCCAATCACAGCCATGGATTTTCCTGGTGGGAAATGAAATCTCAAGGTCAACTGATCAGCCCATGCTGGCAAACGTGAAAACCAAAATAAGGCATTTATCAAGCGAATTTCGGGGATCTAACATCCCCAACAGAAATTCTGATAATAAATATTCACTATTATTTGTAGTCTTCTTAATCTTACGCCTGTTAACCCCCCCCCCTTAGTGAAGCATAGGCCGTTGACCAACATTCTCCAACCGCCGCTTGGACCCACTCCGGCACTACTGTCCCTCCCAAGTCCGGATAAAAAGAGGAGGAAGGTCGAGCCATGGGGTTAGCCGATTCATCCCATTGAAAGCTAACACGCTAACCAGAAAGGAAATACTTATTATTTGTAGTAGTACATTCTATCTGTTGATAAAATTCAAAACTTTTTTCTACTACTTTTTATAGTTTGAAGCTTATACACGATGTCCAATTCAACAAGAAATTATTCATACTGATGTAACACTTTATAAAAATCAAAAATTATCTGAAGCTACAAATATTATTCGTAATGTAAGTGTTTTTGACTAAGAAGTTTTTGTGTGTTTATCATTATTTTTTTCTGTTGCTTCTCCGTCATCTTGTTCGAAGATTCAGTATTATCATTATAGAACGTAGCAAAAAATACATATATATATATATATATATATATATATATATATATATATATATATATATGATTTAGGAAGGAGAATAAATTTTCTGTTGGGATATTTATCAAATATCCGAAAAGAATTATTTTTGTATGTCGAATTCTATTGGTCGATTCATATTGGTCAATATTATGGTGGTCCTGACTATCAGTGTCACGTACTTCAATGTTGATTTTTCCTATTGGTCACCTTAACTGTCAATCTCACAGACTCCATTGTTGTTTCTTATTCGACCTAACTGTATAAATACGCATTATCTGTGACGTTTTATGACCCGGACCCGGATCCTTAGTCCGGGATCCTGATTCCCTCCTGGACTCTGATCTCATACTTCCTGGATGCTTGTAGAATACATGTTCTACTTCATATCAAGGCTTGTCTTCTTTTACTCAATATGGGGGTTGGGATCATCGGATTTGAGTAGCATGTCGTGTTACTGAATCCTCGATTCTCGCTCTCATTTACTGACCAATGTAAACTCGTAATAGTTCAAGCATATCAAATTGACGTGTTTATGTGCATGCGTAACTTTTCAAGGGAAGAAACCTATAATAATATCGAAAAGTAGGATTTAGAAACTGGAGGAGAAGGAGGTTGACAAAGAATCCACTAATTCATATTGTTATTACAACTTATATGCAGGTGTTACAAATGCACGTAAACATGTCAATTTGAACTATTACGAGTTTACCATAGTCGGAAAACGAGAGCGAGGATCCGGTGATACGACATGCTACTCTAATCCGAGTTTCCCAACCCCCATTGAATAAAATAAGACTGAATATGAAGTAGAATCTGTATTCTACAAGCATCCAAAAAGTACGAAGTCAGAGTCCAGAAGAAGACATGGATTCCGGACTGAGGATCCGGGTCCGGGTCATAAAATATTACAGATAATGCGTATTTATTCATTTAGGTCGATTAAGAAACCGCATCAAAGTCTATGACCAATAGGAAAAACATTTGGAGTGACTTTGATAGTCAGGATGACCAATGGGGAACAACATTGAAGTACGTGACATTGTTATCTAGGACGACCATAGGAATCGACCAATAGTATTTACACCTACAAAAATAATTCTGTTAGGATGTTTAGTGGATATATCGTAACAATAGTCAAGCGGAAATCAACAACATGAAAAAGCCCCAGTAGGTAAATAATGTTTCAAAGAATAGTGAAATTTGAGAGAAGTGAGTTTCAAAAAATGGAATCAGAAGTTATCAAATGTATCCAATTCGAGTGAGAGCTTATGGCGAGCTGTCATATGAATTCTCTACATCAAGTGGTGTCCGTCAGGGCTGTCCATTCTCCCCATTCTTGTTTAACTTTGTCGTAGACATCCTCTTAGAGTTAACATTAAGCTCGTCAGATTTTTCAGACGAAATCTCAGCTCAGATACAGAAACCTCGATTCGCTTTTGCCAACCTGCGTCACTTATGGCGTAGGCGTGATATCCGGTCGCTAACCAAAGGACGGGTGTACTGCGCAGTAGTTAGCTCCGTTCTCCATGGCCGTTAAGAGTAGAAGATATTCGATCATAGATGTTTAGGAAGCATTGCTCGTATACCGTGGGACAACCGAATAAGCAATGCTGTTATTAGAAAACGGGTGCTAGGTAAGAATGACAGATCAATAGATGAAGTAATGAAACTTCATCAGTTGAGGTGGTTGGGACATGTTTTGCGTATGCCGAACCACCGACTACCTCGACGAGCCTTGTTTTGTAGTGTAGGAGTAGGTTAGAAGAAAGTTAGGGGTGGCCAGACCAAAACATGGCAGAAATCCATGAAGTCATTGACTAGTGGACTGAGCCATGTCGGTAATTGTCGACTGCCTGGTTGTGGTCCGCGAGATGATAATAATCGATGGTTAGAGACCTTGAACGATATGGCTGAAAATCGTTTGCAATGGCGCAAGTGCATCCATTCTTTGAGCTGTCTCAAATCCTAATCTTCTGGATTCGTCAACACCTTTACCTTTGTCTTTCTAACCTTATCTCACTAAATCATACTTCTTGAATAGTATCTTCAAACCCTAGTCTTTTTCATTATCATTCATACTTCTACTATCTTTATCACTATGTGGTTTGATTTGACATTTGCGTATCTGTGCTAATGTGGTATGGCAACATGAACTTATTTACATACGTTGCAACTGACTGACTGATCCAATTCGAAATATCGACAGGAGGATAATGAATGTACATGAGCTTTCACAACCAACTTTGAACCACTGATTATGAGTTTCGCGGTGGCCTTCAACAAGGTGATATATTGCTACACGGATTAATATCCGTATACATTCATTCATTCATTCATTCCCACTTAATATCTCCAACCTATTCTTATGTTGTTAGGGTTAGCATGTGCAATGGTTCAGCATATGTAACACATGTTGCAACCATCACAGCAGACGGAAATGCACTACATCATTAACCGATCTAACATCTTCATCTTTTCGATATTCTACGCTGAATTTCAATATTAATCACTCAATGGTCTTTGTAGTAAACATCTATAAGGTTGACTAATTTTACTTAGTTATTACAAATTTGAATATGCCTCTGACTCTTTTATTTGACATTAAAGATTGAAAAAAAGTCCTCGTTTTCATTTTATCTGCATCTAGTCTGTCTTAAGCAGTTGTGCCACCCGCATCAAAATATATTCCTCAAGTCCTACCATATCCTCAGAAGAAACAGTATCCTGTCATTGAAACTCTTGTAGCCTATATGTTTTAGCGTGTGTATGTATGTAAACACAAAGAATATTGAGGCCGTGATATGCTTGATGTGTTGGTTTGGGGAGGGGGTTGTTGAACTAAAGTAATTAGATCGATAATCAGCTGATGATACTGAACTACTATAGGTGGTTGACTTTTAACTGCATGCATCTCAAAGGAAACATGTTCCGTTAGTCAATTACGAGTGAGTGAAATATGAAGTACCTACTGACGATTCTTAAAAATATAATTCTCAATTTATTGTCAACCACTTTAATGATAATTCTTACTTCTCTCCAAAAATAATGCAGTGTGAATATTACTACCTGTAACTCAGGTCTCTCATATGGTCGAAGAATGAAAATTTTGGTATTTTGAAAAAATCACACTACGCAACATGAGACTAAGGGTAATAAAAGAGTTTGAGACCGTTTGCATCAAGTTGGGCTGCATCTCTTGCTATCTTGTGCCATACTATGTATATACCATAAGGTTTTCTATGAGACCAGAGGTTCACTGTGAACATTGTGGATAGCTTGGTATTGCTTTGTCAAGCATTGCTAACAGTCCATATACAATACTGGTTAGTAGGGTGACCGATTTCATCGATACTAATGGTTGTCTTGCAACATTCCCAAGGGCCACTGTCGTTGGGGTGTTGTATTGCGCATGTCACCATTACAAATAATAATGAATTCGACAGTCAGGAAAGCGGGATGGGTCAAACTGACTTGTTCATGCGATGCATATTGACTGTGACGCGATCGTGGATCGGAAATAATCACTCTAGACGAACTACTGTATATAAATGGTATGAATGGTCCATTAGGGTGTCAGGTACTTGTATGGGTACACCATGGGATTGAGCCGAACTGTTCACGTTGCAGTGGTAACATGTGATCAGTCTCATTGGTTCTCCTGTGAAAATCAAATGTAAACTTACCCTTGATAATAGATGATTAATTTATATAATATATAATTATTACTTATTCTCTTCTGGATTCATCAACACCTCTACTTTTGTCTTTCTAAACTTATCTCATTGAATTATACTTCTTGAATATTATCTTCAAATCTTAATCTTCTCCATTAGCAGAGTAGTACTCTTACTATCTCTATCACCGTGGGATTTGAATTGACAATTCAATCTCTCTGTATTAATGTGGTATAGCAACTTGAACTGATGTACGCATGTAGCTACGACGTTTTACGTTGTAATTGACTGACTGACACCTGCTTCTCGACATCAAACTTATAATTTGAAGCACGCGAGCTACCCTTACGCTCCTTTGATGCTAATATCGCGGCTGTGATCATGTTGATCACTGGCTGGCGGGTGACTGACTAGCTGGCATTTTCGGCCGCTGACGACTTGAATTTCTTTGAAGTAGTGGCTGCTAGGGGCACTCACTCATGATCAACTTTTCTGAAAAGACTTACCACACGGAGACAAGAACAAGTTTTGTTTCTTCTTACTCTAATAGATATTCACTGATCATCCATCGCTGGTTTTTTTCAGCTAAAATTATTTTATGTATTTAAGTCTTATCTAAAGTACTCCTTCTTCTTCTATTCTTCTATTTATCATCGTTGTTTTATATCAGATAATTTTGCCTAAATTTATTGATTGGCCAATTACAGCATTTCGTATTATTCAATATAATCAATCTAGTGAAACATTTGGTAAATCAGCTGAATATGTGCTCAATAAACGTTCACAATTAAGTTCATTAAATGTTGTAAGTTATATTATTGTTATCAACTAATGCACCAATCACTTTTGATTTACTAGCTTTGAATACTATACACCTCGCGCAATATGATTTAAAAAATTAATGCTTGAACATAGAGCGTAGATGAACTGATTGAAGTGGGAGACCAAGTGAAGTGTAGAAGAGAACGGAAATGTACCACAGGAAGAGGGCCAGGGTTAGGCAAGCTGATCCCGAAGTGGGAGGGACCGTACGTAGTAACCGAGAGGCGCGGCGCAGTGTATACGATCCAGAAAGGAAACAAACAGAAACGCGTGAATGCCAGTCAACTCCAAAGGTGGTTCCAAGTGCGCCAATAGGGCGAGCCACAAACACTGATAAAGAAGATCAGAAAGGCTGAGAGAGCGACTTGTTAAAGGGGGGACGAGTGTGGTGTGTGCTACTTATACGAACGATATAAGTAGTAGTATAAGAAGGGACGTGAAAGAAGAAGTCTCACGGTCACAAGAGGAAAACGGAAAGCAAATGGAGCAAAAGCAAGAAGTAAATGGAGTAGCACCAACAGGAAGAAGTAAAGGAAGCAACAACAGGAATAGTAGAAGGATGAAGTGTTGGAAGTCACGACTCAAAGATGGTGTGTAAATAGAGTGTTCAATGTAATGTTGTCGTTTTTAATTGACTAAGAGTGTAAATTTGCTAAATACAATCCACTAAGCCTGCCTAAGTCTTCTCAGTATCAGGTTAGACACAGAATGTATGATTCAACAAAGAAGAATTGATTCACAGAATGAAAGGTGTTCAAACTATTTTAAGGCTCCAAATGAAGAGCGACGTAAAGAGTGCATGCATTTGCACTGTTGTGATTGATTTGCAGTCATGATTTATAACCAAACAGATAGACAGATACAACGCAGAACTTCGTACATAAGTACATCAGTTCAGGTTGCCATACCACACATCAGCACACAGACGCAACTGTCAGTTCAAATCTAACAGTGATAGCAATAATAGAAGGATTAGTAGTAATGGAGAAGATTAGGGAGTGAAGATATGATTCGAGAAGTATAATTCAGTGAGATAAATTTAGAAGGAGAAAGATAGAGATTATGAGGAATGCAGAAGGTTAGAATTTCATAGAACACAAAGAGTGGATGATATATAACCAAACAACATCTGTAACCACTGATCACGTTTATCTCGCCAACTCTTACCATGTAATTCACATCTACCGAAATGACTCCAACCAATAGATCATGACTTTATGGACTTTGTAGTGGTGTCACGTGTTGATTCGACCATACCCACCTTATCTCCACACAACTTTCTCCTACACTCGTAAACTGATTGATCAAAGTAAGCAATGGTAGTTAGGCACAGATATTGCTCTTATCATCAGGAAAATCATAGGTGATATAGGATCAAGAAACAGATCAAAAGGGGGATGCAATCAAAACAAAGGTGCAAACAACGACAGGTTTAAGGTCAACAACAACCAATCAAGATCGAGGTTAGCAGAACAAGCTACAGGTCAAACATGGAGAAATTTGAATGCTTCATTTCTGCTATCTGAAGTTTTGTGCAGATGATATTGTTCAGTAGGAGAACAATGAAAGCTCCACAACCAAACCACATCCAGCTCAGGGAACCAAATACCACCACCACTACAATCATCCACTTGAGCTACAAATCTTCTCCACCATCTCATTATCATAACTACGTCAATGAATGAAGAAGATTCAGTTTTTATAATAACCTCACCATGATTTATTTACGATATTCGCCAGCTTCAAAACCTGTAGAGAAACGTACTTTACAATTCCACTACTACAGCGAACCATATTGCTTTCAGTTAAGATCGTCATCAGACCTTACTCTAATAAACATGAATATACTACATAAATCAAGGCGATCCATCAGGCGATGACCACAATGAAGTGGATTATATTACCATATACAAAACAGGTCAATGTACAAGTTGATAGAAGGATGGAATTCAACACAGTTGGAGTGTGTGTCATGTACACAATAGAAACGACAATGTTTGACAGATGATCACTCATACACACACACAAACACCTGTTTCGATATGTCAATACAAACACTGAACTTAGTGAACTGTTCAGTTTTATCCATTGATTGATTGTGAGACGAATTGACGAGGTCAAGGTGCTCAGTCTCTTGACGCCTTACTCCAACTCATACCGACTTGAATAACCGGACAAAATATGTATTGTTCAAGTCATGAAGGCTAGCAGCAACCGACTATTTACTTTAGTTGTGCACAATTTCGTAATTCATAGAAACAATGTCAGCACAGGTGTGACACATTGTTTGAAATCCTCTACAACAACAACAGCAACAACTTGTATGCCACATTTTATTTTTCAATGATCTGTGATTACTGATATCGTATAATTTATGTTTTTATTACATAATATCTGAATGATTCTGTCCTAGCTTATTATCTGTATCTGTATTTAATTATATTGGTTTCAGTCAGGAGGTGATAATGAGGAGCTCTTAGATACAACCGCATCAATTGCTTCCAATGAAGTGACTGTTGGTGAATTTTCTGATGGTAAACGTTTTTATCCATTTGGTCTGTGGTTAGAGCATCGATTATGTGTACCGGGATCAATTCGAAGTTTTATTGCTTCGAATGCTTCTTCCTCATCATCATCAACATCATCCTGTTCCCATCATTGGCCTGTCTATCAACCGTATGGTAAATTGAACTCACATTTCAGTATATTGGTTATATGCATTACGAGGTTGTGAAGATTGTTATGTTACACATTTTTTTTTGAAACCATGAACCGATCAATGTTAGACCACCATTAGAAACCTGGAAGCACTGGACGGCCGTTTCGTCCTGGTATGGGACTCCTCAGTGACCAGTGAAGTTCAACCTGTTCGGGTGTAGACAGTAACTACTACCGAAGACTGTGTATGAGGTTGCGCAACTCCGTGAATTTGATCAAGTTAGACATTAACACCGTTAGACACCAGGTCAGTGGTCTAACGGTTAGGGCGTCGGCGCACAATACTGAAGGTCCTGGGTTCGAATCCTGCGGAGTGCAGGAGTCGTGGATGAGCACTGCTGAGGAGTCCCATACCAGGACGAAACGGCCGTCCAGTGCTTCCAGGTTTCTAATGGTGGTCTAACATTGATCGGTTCATGGTTTCAAAAATATTGGTTATATTCATTGTGTTTTATGATTTTTGCACTACTCAAATTGACTGGTAATTTTGCTCTGTTGAAATTTTGTTCATTGTCAGTCACTCTATAAGAATATTTATCTCTGTTATTAAAAATGATATTCTTCAATCTCCTTGTCGGAATTTTTTCTTTTCTGGTCATTATCGTATGATATGTTGTTATTGACAGCCATACAATAACAAAAAACTCAGTAAAACACACAGTAGTTGTGGTATTTTCTCGGAAAAATGAATCTTATAGCTATTTTATTATGCTCTGATTTCGTGATGATGAAGCGTGTGTAAGAACGTAGTAGTAGTAGTAGTTTTGTGCCGATTCTTCTCTATTGTACTTAATGTCACCCGACTGTAGCTGCTACCTTGACGTGGTGGTCGGGATTGCCTATCGTGATGACCCAATCGAGCTATATTGGCTGGAACATATGTTCCTGAAGGTTCTACCATGCCAAGCAGGTCGATTGGAGAACGATGAGACTAAAAGCAGCTACCCAAGGTTTGAGGGTGAAGTCGTACTGCTGACTGACAGCGGTAAGGTGTTTCCCTTGGACAACCAGCATCTGCAGCGATGCTGCCTTCTGACAAGGAAGAAGGGTTTAGAAAAGGTCGACCCTAAGAATGTCACATCTCACCTTACCCCACGGATTTCCGTCTCCGTCGGTAAAGGTTGTCGCTAAGGGCTTTTAAGAGCGGAGCTAATACTAAAAAAACCTTTCATCAGAAGGCCGTGTGTGACTGGCCTCAAGCAGTTGTTCCTCGGGCTCTGCAGTCACGCTTCAAGGTCTCTAAGACCAACACTAATCTACCCTCCTTTTCAGGTCCCTCATGAAACAACCTTCTACGGTGTGGGCAGCCGGGAAGTGACAACCGCCCTCATACCCGTAACAGCACGCGAGAGACCAAATTGTTCAAAATCAAATCCTTCTTACCCCCCCCCCCGCTAATGTCATAATCTTGCGTTTCACCAGTTGCATAGTACCTTTCATAGTTGCGTATTTATTACGCTCTCGTTGTATAGCGCATTGTCTTTGTTTCGAACATAAAATCGACTTGTTTTACATTGATTGTTCCAATGTATTTTAACATAGTTCGTATAATTGGTAAATTTTTTTTGAAACAAGCATAGTAAATTAGTCTAAATACCTTACAAAACGTTTTAAAAAAATATTAAAACATCACTATAAATACTTCTACTACTACTAATACTACTACAAGCCAAGTTATGTTTTTATAACTATGTAGAAATTGTGGAAAGTTTCTGTCGATTTGTTTGTGATACAAATAATTCTGCACATCAATTATTTTGGCATACATAAATGTGATCTCATCATCCTATGGTGTTTAAATATTCAGTCAGTGATATGTTCGTCAATTGATTAGCTTGAATGGTATTACGAGTTCACCTTACTCGGTAAACGGAACGAAATTCAACGATCCAGTGACATGATAAGCTATTCTAATCCGTTGTCCTAGTGTTGGGGATGTTAGATCCCCAGAAACTCGCTTGATGAATGCCTTATTTTGGATTTCACGTTTGCCAACATGGGCTGATCAGCTGACCTTGAGATTTCAATTCCCACCAGGAAAATCCATGACTGTGATTGGCTGCTGTGTATTTTAGTGTGCTATTTTCGTAACTGTCCCAAGGACGTTTCTATGATGTATAAATAAACGAGAGTTGCGTGCTTGATGGTATTGTGATTGCTGGGTGTGTTTGTAGAATATACTTTCTACGCTTACAAAGTCTTCTATCTTCACCTTGATATTCAAGGTAGCCTATCTGGACTCTGGTAATTGTTTCGTTCGTGTTTATCGACTAAGGTGAACTCGTAATAACTTCAAGCGTACCTAGTGACGAACTCTATACCCAGGCCTTGCTGACTAGATCAAGGAGTCTTGATAAGGCGTAGAAAGTACATTCTACAAGCACCCAGAAAATATGAGGTATTTCAAGCACACAAATCCAGTTTTTTTATGTATCGTAGAAACGTCCTTGGGAGAGCCACAAAAATAGCGTACTAAAATAATCCATCAGCCAATGACAATCAAAGATTTTCCGAGTGGGAAATGTAAGCTGAAGGTCAACTGGCTCGAAAACATGGAAAGTCAAATTTTTCAGAATCAAATTACAAAATTAGGACCTTTTTCAAGTGAGTTCTGGAGATCTAATGTCCCTGACAGTCAGCCAAGTGGTTGGAACCTAGAGCCTTGGTACGTACGTCCTTACATGCATTAGTTCAAATTGTCATGTCACATAGAGACGAAATCGTCAGTCCGAATCGCAGAGTAGTCGAAGTGCTACCGGTATTAGTGGTGTGTTGTAAAAGATTAAGGATTGAAGGAAATCTAAACACGTAAAATAAATTTTTAAAATAAACGTCAACAGGATTTCTAAGGCTTAGAATTTGAAGATGAAGAATGAATGCCTCAGAGCGATTGCTAACAATTTTGAAGTATGGAATTCAAAGTTTCTAATCATTGGTTACGATTGTCACACGGACCCGAAATAGGTAAATATAAGTGTATATTCCTAAAATAAATAATAAAAACTAAATCAACAGTAGTTTGCAATAATACAGAAATTAGTACTTACTTATGCTTGTCACCTACTGTTAGGATATTCATCCATTATCCTAAGAGAATTATTGGTCAATTCCTATTGGTTAATTCCTACTCGTCAATTTTATGGTCGTCCTAGATATCAATGTCATGTGCTTCAATGTTGTTTCTTAATGGTTGTCCTGACTGTCAATGTCATTTTAAATGTTACTTCCTATTGGTCGTCTTAACTGTCAATGTCACAGACTTCAATGCTGTTTCTTATTCGACCAAAATGTATAAATACGCATTATCTATAACGTTTTATGACTCGGATCACTAATCAGGGATCCTGATTCTCTCCTGGTCTTGGACCTCGTACTTTCTGGATGCTTGTAGTTGCTTGCAGGTTCTGCTTCACATTCAAGTCTTATTATTTTTACTCATTATGGTGGTTGGGATAATCGGATTTGAGTAGTATGGCGTATCGCCGGATCCTCGATCCTCTCTCTCGTTTACTGACTAAGGCAAACTCGTAATAATTCAAGCATATCAAGTTGACGTGTTTACGTGCAGGCGTAACACCTACACCTTATGAAGCATAGGCTGCCGACCGGCATCCTCAAATGAACTCTGTCCTGAGCCTTCCAAGTACCTACCCCATTGCTATCCATTCTTTTCATGTCTCTGTTTACTTCTCGGCTCAGTGTGTTCCTTTGTTTACCTCTTTTCCTTTAGCCCTAGAGGGTTCCATGTTAGTGTTTACCTGGTCACACGGTTGGGTGATTTCCACAATGTCGTGTCTTATCCACCTCCAGCGCTCTTTCCCTAATATCTTCTCCAGCTGGAATCTAATTTGTTCTCTCCCGTCATAGGTTGTTACTGATGATGTTTGACCAACGGATCCACAATCTCTTACATAGACAACTGTTATCATCAATGTATAAATACACAATCACATTGACTAGAAATTTTAACCAACATAGAAGTGTCTAAATATGTTGAAGACAATATTTACAAGGCCATTTATTATATACAAACCAATAACAAAACTATTAACCAATTTCTTTGTATCCTATTCACCATATTGGAATATGGGAAAATGTACCTGAACTCTACTTGACTGTTCCATCTTTTGTGCTTTTTTTTTTCTTTTTCCCCTACATTGTTTTTCTCATCAAGGTATAACTTTCAAAGTGAGCCGTATCGATTCAACCGACAATATTATTTATCCACCGGAGAAAATATGGTTATCGTCTACTGAAACTGTCTGGGATTTACTATCAGCCATTTGGGAAGTAAGTTATTCTTGGGCTAAATTTTTTTAAGTTTAGTATCGATATCAACTGTGAAGAAAAGTCCACTGACAACTGAAACCTCTCACACTCGAGATTCTTACGTCGGCACCTGAAGCAGTTGAGCGTGTTGACCGCTTCACTTTCTTGGGAGTCTCATGAGTGCTGATGGCCTGATGACTGACGAAATCTCAGCACGGATACAGAAGTCTTGATTAGGCTTTGCCAACTTGCCTTACTTATGGCGTCGGCGAGATATCCGTCTGCTTAACAAAGGACGAGTGTGCTGTGCAGCATTTCGCTCTTTCCTACTATACGGATGCGAGACAGCCCGTAAGAGTAGAGGATATTTGTAGATTGCGTGTCTTTGAAGCATTGCTCGTGTATTGGAAGACAACTGAGTAAGCACTGTTGTTGTTAGGAATCGAGATCTAGGCAGGGATGGTATATCAATAGAAACTTCATCAGTTGAGGCGGTTGGGACATGTATTACGAATGCTCAATCAATGACTGCCTCGACGAGTCATCTTTTGTGATGGCAGAAATCCATGAAGTCATTGACAAGTGCACTAAGTCATGTTGGTAGATGTAGACTATCTGGTTGGGATCCGCGAGACGAGAGTCACCATTGGTTAGCGACCTTGAATGACATAGCTCAAAATCGTTTGCAATGGCGCAGGTGCATTTACTCTTTGTGTTCTCTCAAATTCTAACCTGATGAATTACTCATCATCTCTATCTTTATGTTTCTAAATTTATTTCACTTAATTATAACGTCTTGAGTAATGTCTTCAAACTGTAATTTTATCGATTACCGCTAATACTTCCACTATCTCTACCACTATGGGATTGGAAGTGACAGTTGCATCTATGTGTTACTGTGGTATAGCAACCGGAACTGATGTACGTACTTACGTACAAAGTTCTACGTTGGAACTGTCTTGGTTCTATTCAATTCATCCAAATGATGTCATCAAAGTCGTTCAGCTTTTAAAGGACAATATAACCTTGTTGGATTTATTTATATTCGGAAATCTCATTACTATGACTAATTCTACGATGATAATTTACATCAAATCAGATAAGCTTATCAATCATTGTTGATGCTGATGAACTTAGTCTAACACAAAGTTGATCGATTCAAAATGACTGTCAATTGAGATTCTTTGGTTAACCAATAAAGGAAACTGTTATTTTAAAAACAGCAGTTCTCTCAATCAAATGCAACAAAGAAGTCAGTCAGTCAGATGCAACATAGAACTTGGTACGTAAGTACATCAGTTCATGTTGCCATACCACATCAGCACAGAGATGTAATTGTCAATTCAAATCCAATAGTAGTAGAAGTATTAAAGGTATTAGAAGTAATCGGAGAGATTAGGATTAGAAGATATTATTCAAGAAGTATAATTCAGTGAGAAAAGTTTAGGAAGTCAGAACTAGAGGTGTTGAAGAATCCAGATTAGGATTTGAGAGAACACAAAGAATAAATGCACCGGCGCCATTGCGAACGAATTTGAGCTATGTCATTCAAGGTCTCTAACCATCGATTTCGATCATCTCGCGGATTCCAACCAGGTATTCGACAACTACCGACATGGCTAAGTCCACTTGTCAATGACTTCATGGATTTTTGCCATGTTTTAGTTTGGCCGCCCCTAACTTTCTTCTAACCTACTCCTACACTACAAAACAAAGCTCGTCGAGGCAGACAGTGGTTAGGCGTACGCAACACATGTCCCAACCACCTCAACTGATCAAGTTTTATTACTTCATCTATTGATCTGCCATCCTTACCTAATACTCGTTTCCTACCGACAGCATTGCTTACTCGGTTGTCCCACGGTATACAAGCAATGCGTCGGAGACACCTATGATCGAAAAGCAACTAAGAAGTGAATTTGTATTACTAATAATTAATAAATAGTATAGTTATAATAATCTAAAAAAAAATTTTCATATTCAGGATTTTTTTGGTTGTGAATATTTAGAAAAAAATTATCTGTGCATTAATTAAGATAATACGTTTATTATTATTGTGGTGCGAGCTACTTATAAGTAGTATATGACGTGAGTGTCAACGTAATGTCTGACGCAGCAGAAGATGGGGAGAAGATCAAGAAAGGAAGAGTTAGAACACAATGGAATTTGTATGAAACGCATGAATAGTGACAATGGATTGATGTTTTGCAACAGAGAAACAGTCCAGTTCGATATGATGAACTGATAGTTTGCAAATGAACGGTTTACGATATGGTTTTCCTATTTTACTGAGTAACTCTGTAATTTTCGTTAAATCCAATTCGGTTGCCCCCACCTGTGTTCTCGTTCACTACATTATTATTATTATTATTATTATTATTATTAATGTTACATTCTATTTTAGCGGTATAGCGGACAAATTTTAAATCAGCATGACATTGAAACTGGATATGCCAATGGTTTACAACTTATCTTAGATCAATCTTCTTGTCTTTTGAACTCAGAACAGCAGTCATCGTCAACATCAACATCACCATCATCATTACCCGTGTGTGCTTTACCTAGATGGGCTTTCCTTTTATATACAAAAGATTATTCACATTTTGTAAATATGAATCTTGACAAAATTATCAATTTCTCCTGTCCATTCTATGGCCCTTATAATCATCATACTACAAGACCTACCACTACTACTACTACACACATATCCAATAATAATGTATCAGTGAATGTTTATATTGATTTAGGCAATACATATGATCAATGCTGTGATGAATTTAACCATGTTAACAATACTCATTTGAATTGTTTGAATTTATTGAATAATGTTTCACAGTCAAACAATTCGATTGAACACTCATCATCTCATAATGGATTAATGAATGTTGGAGCTAAACGTGGCCGATGGTTATCGTCGACCAGTCCTGGTGTCTGTGATAATAATAATCATAATACAATTTTATCTAAAACTGATTTTAAATATCGATTGCGTAGAATGTGTTCACTTGTTGAAAAACGTATGTATCATATGATATTTCCGGTGATTATACCTAGTGAATTAGAAAGTAAGTTGAAATGTTATTGACACAGAATGTATTTTCAAATCTGCAATGCTTTTCATCAGTGTAATTTTTGTTAGCTTGTAATTTTAGCCTTTGGTTGGTTGGTTTGCGTTGAAACCCGAAGGTACCTTGTGTGCTGGGGTGAGGAGCAGAGTATGAGATTATCTGGAAGAATAAAGAACAAGAGAAGAAGATGAGCCGATGACTCAGTAAGCACATAGAATAGACAGCAACCAGATGATATAAAGCCAGCGTTAGAGAGATTAAGACAAATTGATAAACGAAACTAGGAGTTGATAGAGTTAGGTTTCTTCGAATGCGTTACAAGTTTACTAGTTAAAACTTTGGATTTTTAATTTTTTACGCCACAAATTCGAATTCCAATCCACTTTAATACAAATTGGTCACCCAGCTATTCTTATTGCTTAATTAGTCATTCTCGGATACCAATCCATTCGACAAGTCGCCAAATCAAAACACAGTTGAACAGGGGAATAGCAAGGTTAAATGGAAATAAGAAGCCGAAGCGAAGGTGAAATAGGAACAACGTTAGTTTTTACATGAGAAGCTTTTAGAATATTCTCCATGTATTGGCTAGTGCTGATTGGATGAGAATTAGCCAATCAGCGTGCTTTAATCCAATCTATGTTCCTCTAACAGACAGAAAGTCAAATAAATAGATCTCTGTTGATGATAAGTACATTTTATCATTGGCTCTGTAGTTTGATGTGGACTTAGTGATTTTTAGATCATGAATACTTTATACCTAAGTGTTGAGATGTCCGAAACTAGAATGAAATGGCCTTCCGGTGCTTGAAATGTTTAATATTCATCAAGAATCTACAGTACATGCTAGGTATTTAGGCTAGGATACACAGCAGTTGATTCTCTTGTGTCAAATTACGAAAGTAACACTCATAACACTCTTACGGATAAGTGTAAACAACTGAAAGACATTAGATGCGTTGAGGAATCTCATCGCGCTTGATGGAGGGGCTCTAGAAGATATGGGGACATTTACGTATCAAGACAGCATCACTGATAAACAAGGCGGATTGGATACAGATGTGATGACAAGGATTGGCAAAGTAAAGCCAGCGTCGCCTACAATTTAGGAGCATCTGGTACTTGAAAAAACTGCCAGCCGACACTGTTGTCAAGAATTTTCAATGCAAGCATCAAGACAATTGTATTGTATGGAGCTGTAGCTTGAAAAACTACGAAAACTATTTCTCTAAAGATACAATTATTAATAAACAGTTAGTTGTCTACGCAAGATACCCCAAATCCACTCACTGGTCATGCATGCACTATCAACAACGACCTACTGTGTTGGACAGAGCTAATCAACTTTAAGGTGAAGTTGTAATTTACTGCTTCAACAAGCTAGCATTAACTTGGAATCCTCAAGTCTAAATGTAAAGAGGCAGGCAGAAGAAAGTATATATTGGCACGAGAATACAAGGCAGACATAAAGCGAATAAATGTCACTTGATTAGAACTAGGAAGGAGAGCTAAGGATAGAATAGTTAGGAGATTGGTTGGTGGTTGGCTACCCTCACTCTACGAAGATTAACAAGAATATGCAAGCAAGAACAGTTAGTGTAGCAGAAGAAGATATTATTCATTTGTGGAATGCATCGAAGCTAATTTTTTTCATAATACTGTCCCCACTTTGACATCCAATCTAAGAAACCACTGCGTTCCTGCACCAAATGAGCACCAAAACACGAATTAATTCACTGCAGAAGACAGAACTTCATTCATGGTCAATAAATAAATCAGTCCTGTTGTATCGTTTTAGTACTTAGTGCATGCGTGTAGTGTGAAGTTTTAATTTATGCATTAAGAAATTTACAAAAGCTATTCCGTTGTATTTAGGTCTCAGATGGGTAATAATTAGCAGCTATATAACGGATTATCACCATACATAAGTTTTCTGTCTTCACCGAGGTTTGTTAGCAGAAACGAAGTTATTCATCACGGATCACTGTCATTCTATCTTCAATTGAACATTTTGGTTGGTACACATATTCAACATTATTTTATAGAAATCTTAAGGAATGGAAGTCTACTGGGGAAATTTTCGAAAAAAGTTTCTTTTTTTAATTGTATTGTGCTATATCGAATCTCTCTGCCAGAGTCTCTCACTTAGTAGGAAAATCGCATACATTTTTCTTGGCTTTTTCTTATCCGGTACCAACTCACAAGCCTCAATGAAGTAGTAGTAGTGTGGTGTGAGCTACTTATAAGTAGTAGTATATGACGTGAGTGTAAACGTAATGTCTGGCACCAGAAGATGGGGGAAGATCAAGAAAGGAAGAGTTAGAACACAATGGAATTTGTATGAAACGCATGAATAGTGACAATGGATTGATGTTGTTTGCAACAGGAACAACAGTCCAGTTCGATATGATGAACCGATATTTTGCAAATAAACGATTTACGATATGGTTTCCCGATGATTTTACTGAGTAACTCTGTAATTTTTGTTAATTTCAATTCGGTTGCCCCCACCTGTGTTCTGCTTCACTACAGTAGTAGTCGGTCGACCAACAAGCTATTCAATCTACACCATATGGCTTAAGCAGTAATTTGTCTTCACTGTAGGCCAAAATTTCTCTATATTAACATGAGTACACATAAATTAACTTAAGCTTTGTTGAACTGTTCAAATGATTATTAACAGCTTTATTAAATGTTCTCATGAAATCAAAGATCTGTATTATTTATGAGTTTCTGAACAAAAAAAAACAAACTTCTCGATGTCATCATCATCATCATCAATAGCAACGTAGAATTCTGCACGTAAGTACATTAAAACGTGTCCACAGTGTAAGTCTATCCCTTAATAGGGGATCTGTAGTAGGATGATTTCAGTCATTTACAACATAGAACCTCGTACGTACGTACATAAGTTCAATTTGCCATACCACATTAACACTGAAGATATAATTGTCAATTTAAATCCCATAGTAGTAGAGGTAGTAGAAGTATTAGTGGTAATTGAGGATATTAGGGTTCGAATATATTACTCAAGAAGTATAATCTAGTGAAATAAACTTAAAAAGAGAAAGATATAGGTGATGCGAAATTCAGAAGGATAGAACTCTATAGAACACAAAGAATGAATGCACCTGCGCCATTGCAAACAGTTTTGAGCCACATCAGTCAGGGTCTCTAACCATCGATTGCTATAATCTTGCGGACTCCAACCAAGTAGTCAACGCCTACCAACATGACTCAGTCCACTTGTTAATCACTTCATAGATACTTATCGATATCAATCTTGACTAATCCGCAAACGATGTAGAATTGTATACATTTGTGATGTTCATTTTACAATTTGTAATGTTTTTATTCTTCGTCAATTAATTGTGTTCTCATCTGTTTTTTTTTTCATTCAATTTGTTTGATTGTATATTTAGTTGCATCATTACTATTTCAACGAGATTTTCTAATGAATGATCGATTCTCTACTACTTCTACTAATACTAATAATAATAATTCAAAGTTAATCGAGTCAACTAAAACAAATTCTCAGAGTTTATTCAATATTTCCATGTCCAATAATCAAATTGACAATTCCGCGCATTTTAAAACTTCACTTAAAACATCTGAATCATTAGGTAAGTGTTTTAGTATAATCTACATTTCTATGTATATATATATATGTTTAATATCAGTCTGGTGTGCTGTGACAGGTACGAGGTTGGCGGATATCAATTCCCAGCTGCACGCACTGTGGAACGGTGTTTGTTGAGGAACCTGGAAAGGGAGTTGGATTAGTGTTGGTCTTAAAGACCTGGGAGCGTGACTGAAGAGCCTAAGGGACAACTGCTTAAGACCGGTCACATACGGCCTTTTTATGAAAGATTTTTTGATGATTAGCTCCGCTTTTAAAAGCCCTTAGTGGGCACCCTTACTGCCGGAGACGGAAATCCGTGAGGTGAGATTTCTAGGTTCGACCTTTTCTAACCCCTTCCTACCTTGTGAGAAGACAGCATCGATGCAGATGCTGTCTGTTCTAGGGTAACACTTTACTGCTATCACACCACTCTACATTCAGAGCAGTACGACTTCGCCCTTAGACCTTGGGTAGCTGTTTTTAGTTTCATCGTTCTCCAATCGATCTGCCTGGTATGATAGGACCTACAGGAACATAAGTTCCAGCCAATATATCTAGGTCAGTTAGTCAGTCAGTTACAACGTAGATGTTGGTACGTACGTACTTAAGTTCAGGTCATCACGGTACGCGAACCCCGACAACTACGTTATGGTCGTAGCTACGGTCGGGATTTAGTTTTCTGAATATCAATTTACAATTAATCTCCATGGTTTAACACTACTGTTTTTTAAAATATGAAACAGAATCTAATCTTGCCCGTTTACAAAGTTCATATTTATAGTATGAAGTAGTATAATAAATCTGATTGCTCACAGTTTGATACTTCTTAAACTCTTCTCACAGATTATCACAAAATGTGTATGAATATGCCAAAGAGAGAGAGAGAGAGTAGACTGGTTCAGATAGGTGATATAAATTCCATCATCTCTATTATTATTCTCGAAGACACTTCCGAAGGAAACTTATCACTACTGACATGTCAGACAGATAGATACAACGCAGAACTTCGTACGTACGTACATCAGTTCAGGTTGCCATGCCCCATCAGCACAGAGACGCAACTGTCAGTTCAAATGCAAGAGTGATAGCAATAATAGAAGTATTAGCAGTAATGGAGAAGATTAGGGAGCGAAGATATGATTCGAGAAGTATAATTCAGTAAGATAAATTTAGAAGGAGTAAGGTAAAGATAATGAGGAATTCAGAAGGTTAGAATTAGAGAGAACACAAAGAGTGAATGCACCTGCGCCATTGCAAACGATTTTGAGCCATGTCATTCAAGGTCTCTAACCATTGGTGACTTTCGTATCGTGGACCCCAACCAGATAGCCTACATCTACCAACATGACTCAGTTCACTTGTCAGTGACTTCATAGATTTGTGCTATGTTTTGGTCTGGCCGTCCCTAGCTTTCTTTCAATCTACTCCTACACTGCAAAACATAGCTCGTCGCGGCAGTCGGTGGTTAGGCATACGTAACACATGTCCCAACCACCTCAACTGATGAAGTTTCACTACTTCATCTATTGATTCGCCGTCCCTACCTAACTACTGACATGTAGTTATTACAGGATGTTCATAACAAGAACCGGAATACATAGAATTCTCCTTTAAAGCACGGTTTTATCTTACTAATCGAACGTGTGGGGAATACCAGGAAATATTGACATGCTTCATTTAGGATAGTGATCAACCAATCGGTAGTGGAACAACATTGCATTACATGTTGGTCGAGTTATGTCATTCATTGGCCGATTACAATTTTCAATTTTATCCTCACTACCGCCATACTAGACTATCCTTATTTCAATCTCGTATGACTTTTTTCTTTGCTCACTATTAATTATTTGAAAAAGATTTTTAAAAATGTACTGTTCAGTACTTCGTGGTTTCGCAGCTAACATGTCAGTCTAATGAAAATCATTTGAATATTTGTATTACGGGGTTGTGAAGATTGTTAGATTTTATTGAAACCATGAATCGATCAATTTTAGACCACCATTAGAAACACGGACGGCCGTTTCGTCCTGGTATGGGACTCTTCACAACCCCTGTAATACAAATTACCTGTGTTCACTAGTGACTAGCTTCGTGTGGAATCTTCTCCGAGTTCTAGTGGGAAGACGTGACCAGTGATGTCTAACCTGTTCGAGTGTAGACAGTAACTACCGAAGACTGTGTATGAGGTCGTGCAACCCCGTGAATTGATCAAGTTAGACATTAACACCGTTAGACACCGGCTCAGTGGTCCGATGGTTAGCCGTTCGCCTACAATGCCATAGGTCCTGTGTTCGAATCCTGCGGGGTGTAGGAGTCGTCGATGCGCACTGCTGATGACTAGTCCCATACCAGGACGAAACGGCCGTCCAGTGCTTCTTCCAGGTTTCTCTAATGGTAGTCTAACATTGATCGATTCATGGTTTCAATAAAACATTTAAATATTTAGCAATTCTTGTAATTCAGCTATTTTTACACTAAATTCATGAATGAATCGTTGTGTCAGACCACCATTAGAAACCCGAAAGCACTGAAAGACGGCTGTCAAGTCCCTGGTACGTAGCTCATCACTGACAGTGCATAACGCTGATTCATGCTACTCACCGGATTCGAACCTAGGACCTTCAGTCTAACAATAAAATTCATTCATCATTTCAATGTAAAAACAACCATCCACATAAAACAGTAGTTGTCAGGATGTTCACCAAATATCCTAAGAATACTCTTTTTGGAAGTACAATCCTATTGGCCGAAATTATGATCATGCTAACCGTCAAGGTCAAATACTTCAATGTTGCTTTTTATTGGTCATCTGGACTGTCAATGTCATTTCAAATGTTCTTTTCTATTGGTCGGCTTAAACTGTCAATGTCACAGACGTTGATGCTCTTTCTTATTCGACCTTATTGTATAAATACGCACTATCTGAAAGACTTAATAATTCGTTTCCCCTGCCTACTTCTCTTCTGTACTCGACCCAATAAACAACTCCCACTGTGTTGCGTTCTGATATATAGGAGATTTGGAAATAGCATTTTGGGTCGTATTGGGATATTTGAATTGGACGCTGTTAGGACTGAAGAGCTATACGTAGCAGCGTTACAACAATAGTACAAACATATTATTTTGTGATAATGTTTTTATATGTGATTGTGTATTGTAACTTTCTATTGGTTTGTATTTTCTAGTGTTACATAACGATATTCTCACATCATTATCATCTGCTTCATCAGTGAATCAACTAGACAGTGATGTGAATAGTAGTAGTATGAGTATGGCGAATTCACATTGTTCAATGAATGCTCAATATGGTAGTATGTCTATTGGTGGCAAGTCTATTTCATCATTACCGAATAAATTTTCTTCCGAGCACCTGGATATTCTCAGACGTAGTAGTTCACAGCCAACATTACATGCATTCTGTGCACAATCATTTGAATCGTCTTTATTACACTCACCGAAATGTAACACCAATAATAATAATCATACAAAATCTGATCGACAATCTATGGATGTGGACAGTGCATCGGAACATGATTCTTCGTCATTATGTCCAATCGAGTCGAAAGATATGACATTGGCAAATGATGATGAGTATTGGGATGATTTCGAGTTGAATTCTCGTCGAAGGTATGTTTTTTTTATCTCATATTCTATAACTGTGTATTGGTGATTTTTTGTTTTATTGTTGCTGTTATCTTAATAAACACATAAACATTTTTTATACACAAACTGGCACTGTTGTAACGCTAATGTTGTAATGGTTTGCTTAGATATTCTCTAGCTAAATCTTATTGCTTAGTATTCTCTGACCTTAATACACTGGACAAGTCTCAAAGAACCAAAACACGGTTGAACAGGAAAAGATTATATTCCAAAATAGCAAGGAATAAGAAGCCAGAGGTGATGGCGAAGGCAAAGGCAAAAATAGATACAACGTTAGTTTATTTATAGCATTTACATGAGAAGCTTCTGGATTGTAATTCACGTGATCGACTGGATCAGATTTAACCAATGAGCATGCAGCTAACAATACGAGAATTTTCTACCCTGTTCTCCAAAAATCGATCAGGCGCTGATTAGATAGGAAGTTAATCTAATCAGCGCACAGCAACGTAGTCATGCTTTAATTCCATCTATGTCCCACAAACGGACACACAGAGATAATAAGCGAAGAAATATTACTGTTTTCGATTAGATCGTCGTTATCAGGCTGTTTACTCTCTGTGAATATATACCATGATGAAAATGTGAAACTGAATCAAGACAATTTATTATGAGTCAATTATCACAATGAAATGAAATAGAGATTACGTCACTACACACATATCATAGGTGGAAAAGTACAAAAGTTGATAGTAGTAGGGAAGACAGAGGTGTACGGTGATAGTAATAAGAAAAAATCCCGCTGCTTGTCAATACACTCAGTTTTGTAGTTCTACACCTATCCGCTAGAAAAGATATTTGGTTAGATATCTCATTAGCAGAGCAAAAATGATCTGTTCAGTGGATAGTTTAAGTCACGAGCTGGAATATATCAATAGCTCAGTTAGTGAGCTTGGAGAACTATGAAAGCCATCATCCAGAACATACAAGTGTTTATTAACAGTTGTCTACGCCAAATACTTCGGATTCGTTGGCCAGACACGATCAGCAACAACCTGCTGTAGGAGAGAACAAACCAGATTCCAATGGAGGAAGAAATCATGAAGAAGCGGTGGAAGTTGATAGGACACACACTACGAAAAGCACCTAACTGCGTTACAAGACAAGCCCTCACATGGAAGCCTCAATGTGAAAGGAAGAGAGGAAGGCGAAAGAATACATTACGCCGAGAAATAGAGAAAGATATGAGAGGAATGAACAAACATTGGACAGAACTGGAGACGGGAGCCCAGGACAGAGTTGGTTGGAGAAAACTGGTGGGCGGCCTATGCTCTATTGTGGGTAACAGGCGTAAGTAAGTAAGTCACTAACTGAGATCGGCTACCCTAGTGCGTTGTTCTTAAAGAAGTATATGTATGATCTAAAGAAAAAACACGCCGGAGACTTCGACCGTTCGAAAGAAGCCCTTTTTTTATTAAACTACAATTCAACGGACATGTGACCTGCGATACTCTGCAGGACAAAAAATAATGAGAGTAATTAATAGAACATTCTACGCAGGCAAACTTGCGTTGACCTTCTCAAGTCGACCAGCGATGTCTACCCAAACGAAGGATAAGTTACCTGAGTTGGCCTCCTCTATGTGCATTTACAAATTCAGCTGATCCTGTGGAAATAGCTATATCGGGTGTACTACCAGGCAACTTACTTCACCAACGAATGAGTGAACATTTCCAAGCATGGTTTAAGAAGGGTCAGTCAAAAACAACACACAGTTCTATCTTAGCGCACCTGTTTGATAGTGGTCATATTGTAGATAAGTCTAGATCTTTTCGGGTGATCTATCGTGTACCTCCATCATTTCCCAACGAAGTTGGATCCCGTCTCCCATAACATAACAAAAGCCATAGGAATTCATACATCCACCTTAAATAACGTGTTCAGAAGAGATTCGTGACTCCCATATCTATTCTGCGGCCGGATATAACTTGACTAGCGTTGAAAAGAGAATTTTTTTCATTTTTAATCTTGTTATTATTAGCATTATTTTCACATCCTGGTATTTGTTGATAATTTTCTGCCTCTTTCCGTTTATATTCTTCTTCACTATCTAATTATTTCACACACTTCTTATTACGTAATGGTTTTAATGTTTTGTCACGATTATTTTAAATCTATTTATCCACGAGGTTTGACCTACTATCTTTAATGTTAGACTATTGACTCAAACTTTAGTTATCATATTTTATAATTTTCTTACTACTATCAACTTGTACTTTTCCACCTATTATGTGTGTAGTGACGGATTCTCTATTTCATTTTATTGTGATTATTGACTCAAATTGCCTGATAACGACTATCTAATCGAAAACAACTATATGTGTTCCAATTTTCACAATGGGAATCTTTAATATTATCAGAATATGTGCGCGTCACATAAATCAATGAATTTGTGTTTGAACTGGCTAGGATACTTCGCAAGTGCACAAACTTGTTGGGGAGGTTAAATCCCCAGGAAAAGGTCCTAATTTTGGATTTCTCATATTTTCGCGCATAGGTTGCTTAGTTGACCTTGAGATTACATTTCCCACCCAGGAAAATCGTTGACTGTTATTGGTTGATGGATTATTTTAGTACGCTATTTTGTGGCTCTCACTAAGGACGTTACTATCATTGTATTAATAAGCTTGATTTGCGTGCTTAGCAACCTCTAATTTTCTTGGTGCCTTATCATGACTTCTTGCTATAGTTGGCACGGCCGGGGACAATCGAATCAGAATAGCCTATTGTGTCACTATATCGTTGACTTTCGTTCCATTTACCGAGTAAGGTGAACTCGTAATAACATTCAAGCAAATCAATTGACGATCATATCAAAACTGTAGCAGTCGTTTTTCTTATGAGTACACTCCCTGAAACCTTGATCTAGTAGTGGTGGCCTAGTCAACAGTGCGATGGAGAAACGTCAAAACATGCTGTCTTCATGGTATAGGTTCATACACACGTCGCGCTGCATCAGGATCGTGGAGCGCATGTACATCATTAGTTTGGTGTCAAGGTTTTTCAATTCCCCAATGTGGATCATGTACTTGCCAATTTGATTTAAGAATCAGAAAGTCGTTTTTTTTAAAATATCGTAAAGAAAACGCTCGTCACGAATAGGCAGTGCATAGGACTTCTATGACACATTGGCCAAATGAGAATGAACTTTTCTCACTCTTAGCTGCATCAAGGCCCTGGAGGACTTAGTTTTAAACCACTTAAGTGTTGATTCAACCAAGTAGTACTAGGTTTTCTATAATATCATAGGGTATAATTTCCAAGTGTAGTAATCCTATTTCTTGTCTGGTTAATTATTCTGGATTATAAGTTAGGTTTGTGCATCTAACCCCTAGGCTATGTGATATCAGCAATACATTTCGCTACACAGTATTATAACTAATTGTATTTATCTATACAGTTGTAAAATATTCTCTAAAATCTTACAATTTGAAAATCTACTGATATTTAAGCGTAAAGCCTTGTGTAAATGGGATTTTTAGTTGAACGCAAAGACTGTTGAGTCGAAAGTTTTGGTTGAAGTCATCTGGTATCGTTTTTGTAATCCCAAACATTTTCTGTCTGTTTACAATTTTCAATTTGATCAAGTTATACATTAACACCGTTGGATACCGGCTCAGTGGTCTAACGGTTAGGGCGTTCGCGCACAATATTAAGGGTCCTGGGTTCGAACCCTGCGGAGTGCAGGAGTCGTGGATGCGCACTGCTGAGGAGTCCCATACCAGGACGAAACGGCTGTCCAGTGCTTCCAGGTTTCTAGTGGTGGTTTAACATCGATCGATTCATAGTTTCAAAAATGTGTAACTTAACAATCTTCACAACCCTGTAATGCAAATTTTCAATAGGATATTTTTCTCTAGAGATCATTCATAATAATTCATTGTATTGTTCTTACATTCATCAAAATTTTTTTCTAGATTTTGTCGTTTTGAAATGTATGAAAATGATACTGATACAAACACTAGTTGTTCAAAATTATCTTTACTACAACGTAAACTTCGCATGCATGTTGATATACGTTTAACTGTGGAAGAACTGAAAATGCGATTCAGTGAATATTTAAAATTAGATGCTCAATTTTTAAATGTAAGTCATAATATTTAGTTTACCATGTACATTGCATGTTTTAATTTGTCAGTTGCTTGTGTGCCCTGGGACAAGTCAGTAAGTGATGCTGTTGTTAGGAAACGAGTATTAGGTAGGGATGACAAATCAATGGGTGAAGTATTCAGACGTCATCAGTTGAGATGGTTAGGACATGTGTTGTGTATGCCCGACCACTGACTGCCTCGTCGAACTATGTTTAGTGGTGTAGGAGTAGGTTGGTAGAAAGCTAGGGATGGCCAAACCAAAACATGGCAGAAATCTATGAAATCGCTGACAAGTGGACTGAGTCATATTGGTACATGTAGGCTGTCTGGTTGGGGTCCTAGCAATCGTAGTAACCGATGGTTAGAGACCTTAGTGACATGGCTCAAAATCGTTTGCAATTTGTATTCCTTATCACCTCTATCTTTCTCTTTCTAAAGTTATTTCACTTGATTATACTTCTTGAATAATATCTTCGAACCCTAATCTTCTCCCTTACCAGTAATACTTCTACTCTCTCTACCACTAAGGGATTTGCATCTCTTTGCTAATGTAGTATTGCAACTTCAACTGATGTTCGTACGTACGTACGAGGTTCTACCTTATAACTGACTGACTGACTGACTGACTGACTGAATATGTCATTCATAATCTAAAGAGAACCTTTCAGAATTGTATAAAACTTTAGTATGATTGACTTACTGAATATTAGTGAATCAAGAGTAAATGTACAAACTGACCAATACAGTTGGAATTTTGCAAATTGGTCCCGAAGGAAAGGAAATATTTTCTCGTTACCTTTGTATCGGTGTTAAAATCACTCAGGAGACTCAACGTTCTGTCAACGTTTTCATCAAACAAATATTGTTGTTGTGTATAGCTGTCATCAAATGGAGAAACAAAGTCACAGTTCACGATTACTAATTACAATTCAACCAGTTTATTTGAAATGATATAGATTCACCCTGAATAGGCATGGTTTAATTTTAGATTGGTTTTCTCAGGAGAACCGAGCACTGCCCACGTGTTAACACTATATCGTAAACAGTACAGCTCAATCCTATAGTTCAATCACATCCTGCAGGACCATTCACACTATTCATATACACTAAGACATATAGTGCACGATTGCATCAGTCATCGTTCACTGCATGAACAGGTCAATTTAACTCATTCCGGTTACATGACTGTCAAACTCACTATTATTAGCAGTGGCGATATGCAGTACAGCACTCCAATGACAATGGCCCTCAGGAATGTTGCAAAACAACCACCAGTATTAGTGAAATCGGGCACCCTTCTAACCAATTTCGTATTTGGATCGTTAGCAATACTTGATAGAGTAATGCTAAACCATCCACGATGTTCATCACAACAAACCTCTAGTCTTATAGGAAAACAGCTCTATTTCAGTCAGTCAGATGCAACGTAGAACTTTGTACGCAATAAGTACATCAGTTCATGTTGCCATACCACATTAACACAAAGAGATGTAATTGTCAATTCAAATCCAATAGTGGTAGAAGTATGATTCAGAAAGACAAAACTAGAGGTGTTGTAGAATCCAGAAGATTAGGATTTGAGAGAACACAAAGCGCCATTGTGAACGGTTTTGAGCCATGTCATTCAAGGTCTCTAGCCATCGATTATTATCATCTCAGTTCTATTTAGCAGTATACCTTATGGTATACACATCGTATGGCATAAGATAGCAAGAGGTACAGCCCAGCTTGATGCAAACAGGCTCAAACCCACTTATTACCCTTTATCTCATGTTGGGTAATGTGATTTTTTTTCGAAATACCCGAAATTTTCATTTTTCGACCATAAGAAAGAGAGAGACCTGAGTTAGGGGTGTTTAGTATCCCCAAAAATTCACAATCATCTACCAGATATCCGTGTAAATGGTATGTTTATTTTCGAAATTGTCTTAATAATCGTTCATTCTGATTGTTTCAGAACTTGTGTACGTGCGTACACAGTTTGCCATAGTGCATTAGCATAGAGACGCGCATGTAGTACAATAATCCCATTGTCTTTTTGATATGATATGTGACAAATCATGTCATAAACAAGATACTTCATATCAGTAGTTAATTGCTGTTTTAAGCTTTTTGTTAATATGATCATTGGTGTTTTTGTTTTTTGGATTTCAGATTGAAGTTGATCCATATGGTGGATTATTCTCTAAAGATTTAACTACTTTAAATTCAAATGATACTGTAAGTTTTTTTCTGTTATCGTTGTTGTTGATGATGTTTTCAAATGAGTTCATTTCTTACTGGAAAAGGAGGGGAGAGAGGGAAAGTATTGTTGTTGAGATAAGTGAGAAGATTATTTGACAATGTTGTTCAATTTTGTTCAATTTTAGAACTATGAAAATTTTTTTAGGCAT